CTCTCAAAATGTAAGCCATCAAAGATTCCAATGCATCCCACGTGCATTCTGGAAAGAGAAGAGGTAAGAAAAAATGTAGAACAGAAAGTCTACAGAGGTATGATTGGCTCTCTCCTCTATCTGACGGCTTCAAGACCTGACATATTATTCAGTGTTTGTATCTGTGCTAGATTCCAATCAGATCCTAGAGAATCTCACTTAACAGCTGTTAAGCGAATTTTCAAGTATCTGAAAGGTACTACTAATCTGGGTTTGTTTTATAGAAAATCTAGTGATTACAGCTTAGTAGGCTACTGTGATGCTGATTTTGCTGGAGACAGAGTGGAACGTAAAAGTACTTCTGGAAGCTGCCAGTTTCTGGGAGAAAATCTGATTTCTTGGTCCAGCAAAAGGCAATCAACAATTGCTCTGTCAACAGCAGAAGCTGAGTACATAGCAGCAGCAGGATGTAGCACACAAATGCTCTAGATGAAAAGTCAGCTTGAAGACTTCCAGATTTTTGAGAGTAACATTCCTATACTTTGTGATAATACTTCTGCTATTTGCTTAAGTAAGAATCCCATTTTACATTCTAGAGCTAAGCATATAGAAATAAAACATCACTTCATTAGGGACTATATTCAGAAAGGTATTTTAAACTTAAAATTTATAGATACAGACCATCAATGGGCTGATATCTTTACTAAACCCCTTTCAGAAGATAGGTTTAATTTCATTCTGAAACATCTCGGCATGAAAGTGTGCCCAGAGTGAAAATGTTTTAATTCCATATATTTACCTTCAGAATGTAATTATTTTACTGTGAACTTCTGATCAATCTCCTTTCAGAAAGATAGAACATGTAGATTGTATCAGATGCAAGTCTAAAGATCTGAGAGTCTAAAGCTCAAAGACAGACGTGCTGATCACTATATCAAACAAGTGTCATCCAATCATCAGCATATCTCTGAAGCAGAACGCGTGCACACTTCTGAGAAGGCAAAGCGCTGATTGGGTGCATTGAGACACATGTCTGGTAACCGTTTTTAAGTATCTTTCTCAAATCCCCCAAAATCAGCAAGCATTTAATGAAAAGTAATCATGCTTTTAAATGGCAATCATGATTTTTCTCTCTCTTAAAAAACGTTTATCTTTTCAAAATAGTTTTGAAAACTCTATTTAAGCACATTAATCTCTCATTATTATTCTTTACGCTTTCTCACTAATACTCAAGCATTTTCTGCATATTTCTGTGTTCATCTCTTGCAACCTATTTTTCTCAGTTTATTCTCAAAAACCTTTTAGCGTGAACATGGCAACCTCCAGCAGCGTTTCTGCAGGTATTCAGAAGAAAGCATCATCTGAGCAATATCAAGTGCCACTCAGAACTCTCCTCACTCCGGTGAAGAATCTTGAAGTGCTTTCTGAATTAATCATTGACTTTGAAAGCTTGAAGGAGAACGGTTTTGACCTAACTGAAGAAGTTAGGGCTCAAAAGTGGGAAAGGTATTTCGATAGGTTGGTTGGACCAACATTCCCAATGCTGGTCAAGGAATTTTGGATTCACGCCAAGGCTTCAACACATCTAGTCACCTCCTTTGTTATGGGGAAGAAGATTGTGATTACTGAAGATCTCATTGCAAGGCTAATCGATCAGAGTGGTGGTGGCGTCCGTTGTGTGGACATGGCTGAAAGATGTGCTGATATAGGTGTGGTAGCTAACAGGATTTTCACTCTTGGGATGCCCAGCAGCAAGATTAAAGATCTGAAGGATCATTGCAGAGTGTGGGCTAAGATCATTTTGGGGTGCTTCAACCACAGGAAACCAACCAGTTCTCCTGATTACATAAATGTGGATCAGCAGTTTCTGATCTACTTTATTGATCAGAAGATAAAGATCAATCTGGCTCACTTCCTGTTCAACCACCTCAGAACAAGTGTGAAAGAAACTAGGGAAGAAGAAAGAACCAAGAGGGATTGGATACCTTTTGGAAGGTTGATATCAGATATTCTGACAGAGAATAGGCTGATTGAGCATCTGATAGAAGCTCAAGAGCTAAGCATTATTGAACCAACAATTGGGAAACCTCTGAACGCAAAGAACCTGAAAAAGATGAAGCTGATAGAGAATATTCAGAAGGAACCCAGAGCTACTCCCCTTGCTGATATCTCCAGCAGAAGAGTGCCTCTGAGTGATTTTCCGTTATTTTCTGAAATTGAATCCAAACCAGAGGTGATTCTCAGGTACCTAGATGCGTGCAAGGCAGATGGTACAGATCCAAAGATGAATATCAGAGATCTGCATCAACCTCAACCAGAAGTGACTCTGAAGAAGACCAAGAAGAGGAAGGCGCCATCAGAAGGATCATCTCAGCAGACTCCCAAGAAAAGAGATGAATGAAAGCGATCAGAAGATGAAAGAGAGAATGGATGTGCAGGACAGCAAGATTGACACTGTTGTCAGCATGGTGCATAAGCAGAATGAGACTGCTGAAAAGATCCAAGCCATGCTGGAGAACCTGTTCACACGCTTGCCTCCTCAACCCTAGTCCTTTTTTTTTATGCATGACCTTTTTCATGTTTTCCTTGATTTTCTGATGCACTGATTGAATATGTTTTGTAATATTTTCTTGTTTTGATTCTGAACTATCTTAATATGATTAGTTTTTCTGATCTTAATTGTTTTAGCACATCACCAACACTTTTTGATTGCTGACAAAAGGGGGAGAACAAGAATGATATTTTAATCAATAACGGCTGACTAGACAGGAATTCTCAAACATTCTAACTCTATTACTTGAAATGTTTTTTTTCTGTTTTGCTTAAAGTCTACAGGCACAAGGAAGCTCCTGGACACTTTGAAGACTAGAAGCTCTGATCACTATGAAGTTCTGATCCGCTCTAATATTCTGATCCAAAGCAAAGCTCTGACAAGATAAGCTCTGAAGCTCTGCTCTGACATAAAGCTTCTGATAAGTCAAAGACTCTGATACTCTGATGTTCAAAGAAAGGCAAAAAGATCTGATCCTGAAGAAACACGTATAATCAAAGGGAAGTAATAAACTCAGGGGGAGTATCTCCTTACTCCTTACTCTTTTGCTTCTTATTCTGATACATATTCCAGATGTCTTTTCATGTTATTTTCATTTAAAATATCTAGTTTTTGTCATCATCAAAAAGGGGGAGATTGTTAGAACAAAGTTTGAATCTACTACCCTATATTTAAGTTTTGATGATAACAAAGTGAAAAGATATAGTATTTATAAGTTTCATGTATGAACTATCTGCTGCCTAAAATTATTATGTTCTGACTTGCAGATACTCTGATTGAAATAAGCAAGATCGCATCTATTCATCATCAGAACTTGATTTCAGACACCAGCATCAGAAGTTGCTATATCAGAATGTTAAAATCAGATGATCAACTCACGTACATGCTGAAGCCTGATGAACGAGACTGCGCTCAACACTCTGATAAAGAAACACAATAGTTCATCAGCAGCGAGGCAGAGTCAGAATGAGCCAAGCCAGAACTTGCATTAAGTAAGCAACGGTACTGTGCATTGAAAGCCAATTAATTCCAACGGCCCCATTCCAGACAAGATCTGCTCAATAAGGAAAGCTTGTTATTAGCATTGAATCAAGAATATTGCATCCAACGTTCATCATCTCAGTGCTATATAAACAAAGGCTTTGAAGATTGAAATGGTTAATGCTCTCCAAATCTCTACACGCACAAAAGCTAAACCATAATCTTCGTTCTCTCAGTTTTGCTAAACCACACACTCTGATATTCTATTACTGTTTAGCAATCTAGTTTCTAAGCTTCAATTTGTGTATACATCACAGTTGTGATACAGTTTTTTAGAAAACATCCACACACATAGTTTTATCTCTTTGTAAGAAAGTGTTACCTTGACAAACCGGGTTGTGGTTTGAATCAAGAAGGCTTTAGCAGTTGTTAAAGCAGTCTGTAATATTCAGTTGAATATAGTGGATTAAGACCTCGTTGGAGAGAGGCGAAATCACCTTGACGGGTGGACTGGAGTAGTTTGAGATCAAACGAACCAGGATAAAAATATCTTGTTCATTGCATTAGATTTCAGTTTTACAATTCAACCCCCCCTTCTTGTGTTTTTCACCACTTCAGAATTTTCCAAAATAGTTAGATACATGATTAATGGTCTTCCCTCGACTGGTGGCATCAAAACAGGAGGCTCTTGTAAGTACTCTTTGATCTTGTCAAAAGAAGTTTGGCACTCGTCATTCCATTTGACTACTTGATCTTTCTTCAGCAATTTAAAGATTGGTTCACAAGTAGCTGTCAAGTGAGAAATGAATCTGGCAATGTAGTTTAAACGTCCCAAGAACCCTCTGAGTTCCTTCTCAATATGAGGAGCATGCATCTCTTGTATCGCTTTCACCTTGGCGGGATCCACTTCGATACCTTTATTGCTGACGAAAAAGCCTAGGAGTTTACCAAACCTTACCCCAAATGTGCATTTATTTGGGTTCAACCTCAGCTTGTACTTCTTTAGCCTCTCAAACAGTTTCTATAAATGATCAAGATGCTCTTCTTCTGTTTGAGATCTAGCTATCATGTCGTCCACATAGACCTCTATTTCGTGATGTATCATGTCGTGAAATAGAGATACCATGGCGTGTTGATAGGTTGCCCCAGCATTCTTCAGCCCAAATGGCATAACCTTGTAGCAGAATGTTCCCCACTGTGTGACAAAGGTTGTTTTCTCCATGTCCTCAGGCGCTATTTTGATTTGGTTGTAGCCTGATAAACCGTCCATGAAGGAAAAAACTTTGTGTTGTACCGTATTGTTAACTAGAATATCAATGTGGGGAAGTGGGAAATCATCCTTAAGGCTCGCCCGATTCAAATCTCTGTAGTCCATGCATATTCGTACCTTACCATCCTTTTTACATACGGGAACAATATTGGCAACCCATTGCGGATAGGAGGTGACGACCAAGAATCCGATGTTGAATTGTTTCATGACTTCTGCTTTGATCTTTTCTAACATCTCTGGTCGCATGTGACAGACCTTTTACTTTACCGGTGGGCAGTCCTCTTTTGTTGGTAGACGATATACCACGATATTTGCATCAAGTCCTAGCATGTCTTTATACGACCAAAAAAAGACCTCAACATAATCGTGTAACAACTGAATCAGACGTTCTTTGACACTGGGTTCCAGATTGGCACCCACCTTGACTTCCTTTTTGTCTTCTTCGGTACCCAGGTTAATTATGTCTACTGGTTCTTCGTGGGGCTGAATGGTCATCTCTTATTGTTGTAGTAACCTGGCGAGTTCCCCTGGAACTTCACAATCTTCCTCACCTTCATCTTCGGCTTGGTATATTAGATTTTCATAATCACAGAAGACCATAGCAGAACCGTTACCCATGGGATCCCGAGTGTAGGTAGACCTGCATTGTGAGTGTGAGTGTGTGTAAGAGTATAACTATCTTTGAAAGAAATGAAAATGTAAAAAGAAAAATAATGAGCACAAAGTTTGTATGGAAAAACGTCCATGATTCATTGATGTCATATGGAAAGGAGATAATAACCCTTACAAATAGACCATTGTGCCTCGGGTAAGACACAAGGTTTTAAGAGTCTGAATTGTTTTAATATTATAGATCCGACAAAATTTAAAGACAAATTACTGTGGGATAAATATGATCGGGACAAAATCTATAGCTTCCCAGTTGCTGAGCCCTCCATTGACAGTTGGGAAAATCTAATCCTCCAGGTTTTAGCTGTCTTCATCATCCTCCACTGCGTTGGCTTGGTGGTTGCTGATCTTCAATGGTGGTCCTCTGGCACGAGCGCGACGTACAGCTTTCTGGGCTCCTGAAGTGAAACCCAAACCAAATTTGTCAGATTTGTATGGGATATCTGGGAGTTGACCCCAAATATTGCACCCACCTTCTTCTATCACTGCCTTGACATCCTTCAAAGACGACATCTTGAGTGGAGGCCTTGTAATCTTGGGGACTTGAGACACAACCTTGGTTACTGCCACAGTCTACGGGACTTCTTTAAAGTGCTAGAATGGAGTTTCAATAAATTCACCATCTAGTTCCACATATCTGAAGGAATTTAGATGACTGACCATATACTCTTCTTCTCCATGAACGGTGATGATTTTCCCATGAATTGGATATTTCAGCATTTGATGCAACGTAGAAGTAACAACACCGGCATTGTGAATCCACGGTAGGCCTAATAAGTAGGAATATGAAGGACGAATATCCATTACATAAAAAGTTAAATCAAATGTTTGGGTTCCAACTTTTATGGGGATGTTCACTTCCCCATGTACCATCCTTTTTGAGCCATCGAAGGCTCTCACTACTATGTTGCTTGGTTTCAATGTCAATCCTTCACAGTCAAGCCTATCAAGAGCCTTTTTAGGCAACACATTCAGAGACGAACTGGTGTCAACCAAGACATGAGCCAAAGTCGTGCCCCTGCATTCGACTGAGACATGTAATGCCTCATTATGCTTCCTCCCTCTTGGCGTTAAATCAGCATCTGAAAAATCTAAGCCATTATCTGCAGTCAAGCTGGCTACACAGTCTTGGAACTGACCGGCAGATGTTTCTTGGGGTACATGGGCAGTTTTCAGGAATTTTACCAAGGCCTTTGCATGAGCCTCAGAATATAATAATAAAGCCAACATGGAAATTTTTGATGGAGTTTGCCCAAGTTGTTCAACTATATTGTAGTCGCTTCTTTTTATAATCTTTAGAATTTCCTCCATCTCTTTTCGGGAAGTCTCAGGGATATCTACTGATTGTGCCTTCGTCTGGACATGCTCAACCAGAATACCTTTACCTCGAGTCTCGGTTGACTCGGCAGCAGGAATGTCAGTAGGGGTGATAGCAGGGACTGTAATAATTTTGTCAACATGAGTATCAACAGAGATGATTGTAGGACAGGGAATAGCCTTTGGAGGAGAAACAACAACAGGAATGATTACGGGTCCAGAAATAGCTTTTAGAGGATCAATTTCTAGAGAGAATACCCTTCCACTTCGGGTAATCTTGCAATTCCCTGCGATATTACTGACATCGGAATCAACTTTCTCATAAATTGAATCTTCAGCAGCTGGCCAATCTTGTTTGATACCGTGGTAGTAGACATCACCTCCATAATTCCATTGGACGATTTTGTCTGATGAATACAGGATTGGTCCAGGCATTATAATTATCAACGGAGCCACTTTAGGAACTAATATAATTCTAATGGGTCTTTTGGTGGAGACCCTGGAAGAATTGTCGGAAATGGTCACGATGGAAACATCATTATATGTAACAGTTGGAATTGAAGTCTTCTCAAACAAAATCTCCTTGTTATCTATTAGGTATTGAACGCCTGCTTTTAACAACGGACAACTGATTGGTGAGGATAAACATAAATGACATCTTTCATCACAGCCCAGGAATACACCGACACTCAACAAGTTCTTTTTGATAGTCAAGAGTGGGGTCACAAGTTCATCCACTGAAGTAACAAACATATCTTCTTCAACGACATTGACATCACGACCGTGCTTGGGCATAGGGGCAGTAATGACATTGGGAATTTATGGCGCATCGAATTCAATCTCTTTGGCTTCAAGAAGGTCTTGTACTTTATTCTTCAGAGCCCAACAATTGTCAGTGTCATGGCCGGGACTCTCAGAATGGTATGCATAGTGGGCATTAGGATGATAGTGAGGAGAGGTTGTGTTAGGATTCTTTGGAGCTTCTTTAAAAGTCACTAGATTGGATCTTAAAAAATGTGGTAATACTTGAGATAGTGTCATATTAATCCGAGTGAACTGCCTAACTGGTCTTTCCATTCTTGGCTGGTTGCTTCTTTGCTGAGCAGGCGCAGGTTTAAGAATCATGACAACCCCCACCATTAGACAGAAATCAGCCCTATCTTGATTTCTATGAGGATATACCGCAACAACTTCTTTATTTCCAATGAATGGTTTTCTTACAGCAGCAGAGGATGCATCTTTTTTAATCTTCCCATTCTTTATCCCGCCCTCTACTCTTTCTCCGGTCAGTATCAACTCAGTAAAGCCTACCAATGAACTCCCAATTAACTGATTGAAGAAAGGACCAGACAAGGTGCCCAAAAACATGTCTACCAACTCTCTTTCAGATAGGGGAGGCTGGACTTTTCCTGCTAAGTCCCTCCATTTTTGCGCGTAGTCTTTAAAGCCTTCACTTGAAACCATGGCCATACTCTGGAGTTGAGTACGGGTGTGCGCAAGATCAGCATTGTATTAGTATTGTTTGTAAAAGGCGGTGACCAGATCTTCCCAGTTATGAATGTTGGCTCTTTATAACTGATAAAACTAATCAAGTTAAGTTCCAGACAGACTGTCTTGGAAGAATTGTACCCATAAATCCTTGTCAGCGGTATGAGGCTGGATTTTCCTCACATAGGACCGGAGATGCATTTTGGTACATGTAACTCCATCGTATTTGGAGAACACCGGTCCTTTAAATTTTGGAGGAATGAAAATCCCATATACTAACCTCAACTCCTCAAAGTCCAGTCCAGGCACTTTTTGGATTTCCATTGCATTTAACCGTTATTCTAGATGCTTATACTTGTCGCCGGCTGGAGGATATTATTCTTCAGAATAATTTTCTTCTTCCTCTTCTGAATCTGGCTGGACAAATGCTTCCTTGCCTTTCCCATATTGATTGTCTTTCTAACCATATGACATTTCAAAGTCCAGGGTCCTTCTTGCTTACCCTTGGAATCTTCTTCCCATATTTAGAACTCCAATTATTTTCTTTGTCTTCTTTTTCTTCTCTTCAATCAGCAAGGTCTTCAACTCTTCTTGTCCTTTGGCTAGAGTTAAGAACATCTGTTGAAACTGAGCATTTTGAGCTTAGAGGTCCTTCACCGTTTTCTCGAGATCCATCTTACTGAAATAAACAGTAGAAAGATGAGGATACTTGTTGCAAGAAACCTGCTTATGTTATGATGAATGGTAAATACGTATGCAATGATTTCAAGGATTTTAAAGATTCAAATTTGTTTTAGACAAAAAGGAAACACATGTTATATAAATTAATTAAAGCTTGAGTGCATCAATGCCTCTTTGGGCAAAACAAATACAAAATCTCTAAGATAAAAAGGTTGTACGCATCCTCTTTGGTGCAATGTGCGCATTCAGGTTCCGCTCCTTATGGAGTTGCTTAGTGAGTTCCAAAACCTTCTTCTCGCTAGCGTAGAATTGGGCTTCGAAAGTATCTCGCTCTCCCTTGAGTTTTATCCAATCATTTTGTAAGTCTTCAATATAGGTGGGAATGTCAGGATGTAGGATAGTGTATGTAACATCTCCTTCCATAACAGGCTCCATGATCACCGGGAGAATGGAGGGATAAAGCATCATAAGACTCTGAGCACGAGTTCATACCCATTTGAGGTAAGGTTCAAGAGGGATGGAATTATTATTCCCCAATGTCTTGATATCTACCTTGTTCAACATCCTCCAAGCTCGGATGAATCTCTGGCGAAGACCTTGATCGTCGTTCTCGTAGTCAAATACCAAACCTTGAATGAGCATCTTTTGAGGGCCATCCCTTCAGGCATAACCAAAATGTCTTAAGGATAAGCAGGGGTTATAGGTGATACCTCCCCTAATGCCAAGTAAAGGGACATTAGGGAATTCTCCACAACGATCGACAATAGTAACATTCTCTATAGATCGGGAACACCAATGGATGTCTGAATGTTTGAGCGTCATCAACCTTTGTGATCACCTTGAACCTTGCTCATTCTTCAATACATATTGGGGAATATGCGAAATAAACCATCTTGCCAAAGGAGGAGTGCAACACATAAGGATACCTCTTTTCCTCATAGTGCGAGTGTGAAAAGAATGTAGGATGTCCCCTAGCAAAGTAGGCACCGAGTTGCGGGATATGAAGATTTTGACGGTGTTTACATCTATGAGTTGGTCAGAATTTGGAAACAAAACCATCCCATAGATGAGGAGAGCCACAATTTCCTCAAAGGCTTACAAATCCAAAGAGTTCCAACAGTTTTGGGATTTCTCAAACAAGAACTTTGCTAGGAAACCCTTGACACCACTCCTTGTTTCCCAATTAGTTGTGACATCAGATGGTTGCAAGTGTGGAGCTTGAGCGATCTCTTCTGGATTTGGATCTCTTTTCGTACCGTTTAAAGGTAGTTGATTGAGAATGGAAATCCTTAAGAGTTGGGAGAATTCTTCAAAAGTTGGCACAAGTTGATAATCGGGAAATATGAAGTAATGGTGTAAAGGATCAAAGAACTGAAAGAGCACCTTCATCATGTCTTCATCAGTGTTAGAGGTGACCAAGTTTAGTAGGCGACCATGTCTCTCGGTGAATGGAGAATTTTCAGGAATCCTTGAAGATAGCTCCTTAAGTTGTGGAGGGATCCTTTCAAGGTTGATTGGAATAGTTTTCCTGCGAATAGAATCCATGTCCTACAAAACAGAACAAAGATAAATCCCAAAATCCTTGAAATGGTTAGTGAATGAGTATGATGTTATGATGTAATGATGTTCATAATGTTATGTACAAGTATGTATAAACAAACAAAGCAAACAAGTACTTAGGTTTAGGCTTGCATGGAGTCTCATAGGTAAGTACCCTCTTGAAGTTTAGTTGGCTCAAACATGTCCTAGTAATAGTAACCGGGTTCTAAGGAGCTCAATATCACTGATTTGTTTCTTTGGGCATTGTTTCAGCGCAAGCCTCTTAAATGGTGACCGAAATATCCTAAAAAACCAAACCTCAATGAGTGTAGTATCGAGTATCTACCAACTTCGGACTGCACCAAAGTCGGTCACCTCACTACGTCCTAATGGCCAAGTTGGTCAAGTAAAGGTTCTAAAAGTTCATTAGTGCTTCATGATATCACTCAGCGGCCCCAGATTCTCCTTGATTAACTCAAGGGCTACCGGTACCCATAAATATGTCGCACTAATGTAGCTATTTCTTAGACCATGTCGGTATACCCCGCATAGTTTCCACAACGTATTGCTACTTACCTATAAGGTATCCCCAAATTCGGGTAGAGGATTCAAACTCAAACAAAGAACCATAATGTAACGCAAACAAGTCAAACAAAGAAAGCAAGTAAATATGATCTAACCCTAAGGTAACCCCACTTTTAGAATTGTCCCCAGTAGAGTCGCCAGTTCTATGATACGGTGGGAGAACTGACATGTGTGTTTTGCGTTTTATCGCAAATGTTGCGGTTTAGCAAGAGTCGCCACCGACTTTTCTTTTATCCAAAAGGAAAGGTGAAAAAGCACAGGAAAGACCTTTGAGATTATTTCTTGAGTTCGGGGGGTAGATTATGAAAAGGGAAGGTATTAGCACCCTTTTCATTCATGGTTTTCTATGGGCTCTTATTACTTTCTAGATCACTTGCTTTTGTTTGAAATTGTGCTTTGTGTGGTTTTGAAAGTATTTTTGAAAAGGGGCCATTGTTTAGGCAAACTTTATAATGATTCTCGTTCATGAGAATGTATACAAAGATGTTGATCTTTTGAAAATGTTTCAAGTTTGAAAGATGTTCTTGGAAGTGTTGGTGTTTATTTTGAAAATAGCAAGGATGTCTTGGTTTGAAAATGAGCAAGAAACTAGGAGCATTCTATCTACTCAAAAGTCTTTCATGTTCATTTCCTCTTTCCTTTGACATTGTTATCTTACCATTGATTTGGTAAGTAACCCTATCTTTGGATGTAAACGGGACAGGCGTGGGTCATCGTATAACCATGATTAGCAATGTTGCAAGGTATCTTAGCATTCTCTTTTAGGGACCAAGATCTTTTGAAAGGCAACTTAGATAACATCGAGGGACCATGATCTTGTATTTTTGCTTGTTTTTGCTAAGATACCTCACATTTATAACATGACCATTTTACAAGGCAACCAAGTGGATTTTACCCTAAGGGTGCTTGTGTGCAAGTGTATTGTTTTTCATGCTTGATTTTGTCTTTTATTAGGGTTTTCTAATTGTTTGGTTTTAGTCTTACCATACAAACCCTAATTACTAGCATTTGTATATAAAAGCGATAAATTGCGGAATTCAAAATTACTACGCTATTATAATACTTGTGGGAGGGGGTGTACAAATTATAAATGGGGATTGCAAGAAAATAAACCTAATTAATCTATTACAACCATATTGAATTTGTACAAGAATTGAAATAAATAATGTACAAAAATGAATAAATATACAAAAATGTAAAATGTAAAGTGAATGGATGTTTTGGATTTTTAGGGAAAAGGGGTTTTGATTTTAACCTAATTAACTAAAGAGAAAATAATTAATTAAAGGTAAAAAACCTAAATTTACTAGGAAAAGAAATTAAATAAAACCCTAATCTATTAATTGATTAAAAAGAAAATAAGTTTATAAGAAGAATATTTTTGGTATTTTTTGCCTTAAAAATAATTTATAGTATTATAAAATATTTTTGGTCTTTTTATATTTTAAAATAAAATATTTAAAATGGTGTAAAAGGAGATAACTAAAAACTTATTTTTAATTAAATTTACAAGAACAATTAGTAAAATAAATAAAGTATTGATTAAATAAAATATTTTTTTGTGTAAAAAATAAATAAATAAACTTTATCAAAATATTAATCTAATGTTTTTATATTTTTTATGATTTTTTAATATTAGATAAAATATTTAAGAAAATAAATAAATAAAAATAAGAAAAAGAAATAAAAAATGGGTCAGGGGCTGTGTAAGTGAAATAGGAGGTTAGCAACAAGAAAAAAAACATAAAGGCCCAAGAGAGGCCCAACGCATGCCAAAAAAGTCAGAATGTATGAAAATAAATGGAAAAAATCCAAAAGGGTACCACTGAGGCTCGAACCCAGGTCCCTCAAGTCATTGGCGCGCGCTTCTACAAATGGGGTGGCTATACGTCAGTTTATATAATCAAAACAATAAATGTATGATAGTAAACAAGTCCATGGCCTGAACTTCATCTTCAACCTCACGCCCAGCCAGAGCCTCTGTATCTTGTTCAAATCTCAACAAAAATGAAAACTGTAAACATGAAACTTGTAGCAAATTTCCTCACGATTTCAGAAATGCAAAGCAAAATAATTATAGATCAAAGATAAGCATGAATTTTAATGTCCCTATTCTGAACCCTAAAAATATCAAAAACTTCAATCTTAAAATTCTCTAAGCTCAAGCAAAATTAGTGAAAACTATGGACATGGTTAGCTTTAGGGAAATGATATCTACATGTTTCATTCATAAATAATTCATTGATGATGCCTGTATGAAAAGTTCCAAAGTTATAAAACTTACCTTGCAAGATGGTATCAGGTTTGGAGTTTGAGAAGCTTTCAATGAGTTCCAATGATTGTGTTAGCTTCCTCAAGTTCCCAGGAAGCTAATGGGATGCTTAGCTTAAGCTGAAAGTGCCTGAGGAGTTCTGGAGAAGCCTAAGTGCAAAGCTTTGTTTTTGAAAATGGAGGATAGTGTTAATGGTGTTACAGTCTTGTAACAGGGTGTGGGATGAGTTCTAAATGATGTTTAGAAACTTTAGGAATCAAAAGGCTTGAAAACGCACGAGGGAGATGTGAGTTTCAAACTTTTGATCAGGTTAGGAAACAATGGAGGTATGTGATGTAGTTATGAGCTCTTGGTGTTTTTAGGGGTCAAGTATGCATGGGATTTGTGGAAAATGGCTTGTGTATGTAAAAATAAAAGGTCTTGAATGGTTTGGAAAGTCAGAAGTACAAGTTTCAAGCTAATTACTAGGTTACTTGATTTTCAAGAAAATGGGAAAACAAGTTTCAATGTGAAGTACAAGCATGGGCTGGGTGATTGTAAGTGTCTAAACCATTTCTATTGTATTATGAGACATGTATGATCAGAAGAGAATAAGTGCAAGGCTCGAGAACAAGTTTTGTGCAAAAAGTCACTTTATCAAAATGGCAATGTGCACTTTCTTCCAAAAATGGATATAAAGCATGGCCTTGCATTAATTGCTTGAAATGAGACCTCTAACAACTGTGCAAGACATTAATTATGGAGTTCCTAACAAGTTTGAGGCCTGCAAAGTAGAGGTTATGCAACATAACTTTGAATTTTGAATTTTGAATTTGGTTCATCACAAAATGACTTGTAATTCAAGTGATAAAACCCTAACTTGATCTCTTTGATTCCCCCTACTCAAAAATGATCTCAAGGAGTTCTTGGACATTTTAGAAAGCTTGCAATGTGCTCTACAACCCATCTTTGAATCACTTTTAAATATTACCCTTGGAACTATATGAAAAAGTGCCATGAAGTTGGGTCAAAATCCTGACCAAATTAGGGCAAAAATTTCACTAAGTGTTTTGTTTCATGACCATGTATTCTTAAAATTATAACTTGAGATCCAAGAACTTTTGGAAGGAGTTGTGTGAAGAAAAGTTGTACATTTCATGGTGATCTACAACTTTCATGTTGTAAGTTTATTTTGAGTCATCTTGTATCATGGCGAAAAGTTTGCTCAAAGTTGTGAAAAAATAAGAAATTTCCAACACTTAGAAAAATTTCTAAATTTAGAAATTTTAACTTTTCAAAATGAAATCTTGAATTTTGGATATCTTGATGAATAAGTTTCATATTTTGACATGTTTTGATGAATTGTGATCTTTTACATTTGATTTTGACAAAAAAAGTCAAAGTTTGACTTTTTAGTATACAGTTGACTAAAAATTCATCTGTCAATCCATTGGACTTGAGCAATGTTTTAAGCCATGTCATTAGTTCAAAATGATGCAATTGGACTTTTGAGATCATTCCTTAAACCAATTGATCATTTGCTAGGTTGAAAATCAGAAATTGCTCTTTCCCAGTCAAAAGCCCTAATTTTAACCATTTTGCCCTTTTGATGATTTGATCAAATTTCTTGAGGAATTATGGTCCAAACTTGATCAAATGATACATATGAGTTTACAATGTTGATGTGGATAAAAAATTATGAAGTTTGACTGTAAATTGGCCATAGTTGACTTTTTCCCCAATACAGTTGATTTTTAGGTCAACTACTCAATTGACTGAGAAAAAGTGTGATCCAAAGCTTGAAACTTGACATGAGTAATCTTGAGGGTCCATAATGATCCATGGAGATCATATGGGGCATTGGAAGTTCAAATATCCTTGTGCAATCTCAAACCCTAATTTTGGTCATCAGTGCTTAAGGAGGTGTCATGAGCTGATCAACCCTAGTGCAGTCTTGAGCCAAAGGAGATCTTGTGAGCAAAATCTTGATAAGTGGGAGGGTAAATTTTGGGGTACAACACCATTTCTAGGGTTTTGAGGTCCCAAATTGGGAACTCTATACACAGGCCAAATTGGGCCATGATAAGGATGTCATCATGTTCATGGACTAGTTTCGAGTGGAACCATGCCCTTGGTTGGGATTTATTTTACTTGTATTGCATTTTTTATTTTTACAGGTTTGTAGCCACGCACAAGAATTGTCACTATAGCCAATAGTGACGAATCCGTCTGTAGGTAAAAGCCCAATTTCTAAAACAACAGTTTCTGGGAAGAAGACAAGAGGTGGCAGCATACCACTGGCCCGTTTGAATTTAGTGAATTTTCCTAGGCATATTACTTTATTTACCTTATGTTTTTTGTTTTATTACATTAACAACTAAGCCTTCCAGCGAAGATGGTCAAGGAACGAACGCGTGAGGCAAACGTCCTGGGTTCGATCCCAGGAGTATGTATATTATTTTTCCTACAATTTCTTTACAGATCCAACGCATCTCACAACCAGGCATCCATCATGCGCTTCCAGATCTAGCCATTGGGTATTCCCAAGATCAGATCCAGCGCCCAATCAACCAGTCCCCATGGTAAACCCTCCAAAGGTGATCCTAACTGGATCACGCACCAGGCAGATGGGCCAACTATTCTGAGCCTATCAAATTCAATTCTGCACTCCCAGAATTACTTCTAGAATCAGACCCATTTCAATTTTTGTTTTAATTTCTTTATTTATTTATTGGTTTTAATTTTTTTACAAAAAAAAAATCATTGTTTTTTTAATTAAATAAAAAAAATCACAAAAATCACAAAAAACTTGAGAATTGGTTTTTTTTTCATAAAATATTTAATTTCATTAAATAATTAGGTTAATTAGGATAATTTAGATTCCTTTTTCATAATTAAAATTAATTAGAAATTAGGTTAATTTGCAAAATTAATTACTTTCTCAAAAAAATCCAAAAAAATATTTTTTCTTTATTCACTAATTAAATGTGTTTGAATTTAACTTTAATTCCTCGTTTAATTTACTCTCGCGCGCATTTATTTATTTATTTTTCAAATTATTGTATCTGTTTCGAGTTTGTAATAGCTGTTGACTTAGGTTTATTACTATTTTCATTTACTGTTTTCCCCAAGTTTTGATTATGTAATCCCCCTCCCCAAAGCCTTGTAATAGTTAGGTTTAAACTTCTCGCACTTTTACTTTCCGTCATTATAAACTGCTAGATGATTGTTAATAGGATTGTATACAAAGATCAATAATTTAAAACAGTAGAAAATCCTAAATGTGCAAAGATTAAATAAACTGAAATCAAACACTCGCACATGCTCACTCCTAGGGTTTGCCCCATTCGGTTGCCTTCGAAAAACAGTCACTATTCTCGAAACGTGAAAAATTTTAATGGCTGTCCTCTAATTCGAAAGATCGCTAGTCCCTCGATGACCCTTTCGAAGTTGCCTCGGTAAAAAAGTGATCTTAGAACTTTAGGACAGTTACTAAGAGATCTCACCCTGTTGCCTTAAGTAACCGTAATCGTCCCTTTCGATTGTCCCTCAAACTCCAACGATGGAGCTACCTACTCCTTAATAGTAGGATAATGCCGTCTAAAGGAAATAAGAAAAACAAACTGTTTTTTTCGCGTATGCAGAAGCTCTTAAGTACTTGCTCAAAACAACAACTTTTTTCACACTTACACTTTCAAATAAACTTTTCAAACTAAAGTTTTCAAAAACGCTTTATCACACCCTTGAGGATCGATACAAGGGTTACCATAAAGTTAAACGCTGCACTAAGGCAATTTCAAAACTTTTTAAAAGCACACAAACATACAAAAGAAATTTAAAGAATGGGCAAGTACCTAAGAGCTTATGGAAAACCACAGATAGAAAGGGTGCTAACACCTTCCCTTTCTATAATCTACCCCCCCCCCCCCCCCCCCCCCCGTACTCAGAAACATCTCGAAAAAGGTTTTTTTTGTTCTTTTTCCCTTTTCCTTTATTGGATGAAATAAAAGACGGTGGCGACTCTTGCTTACCGTACATTTGCGAACAAAAAACGTAAAACCAATAGTAACAAAAAATAGTCCATTCTGCCACCGTATCACACAAGTCAAAATGGAGTAGTTCCTGTTGCTTCCTTAGGGGAAGTTCTACATGCCCACAAGGCTTGATCTAGTGTTTTATTCCAATTCCTTGGCTTCTTTCCTACATGCTTCTTAATTAGGCTAATTATTACTTTATTGGCAGCTTCGACTTGGCCATTTTCCTGAACATAGTAAGGAGTAAAAGTTAACAATTTAATTCCAACTTCTTGTGTAAATTCTTGCATTTTTCGTCCAGTAAACATTGATCCTTGGTCGGTTGTAATTGTTTCTGGAATCCCAAACCGACATATGATGTGATTTTGTATAAAATCAATAACAGCTTCTTGATTGACATTTGTTAAGGCTACTGCCTCGACCCATTTTGTAAAATAATCAATACCAACTAAAATATACCTTTGTTATTTTGATGACGCTGGTTTTATTTCTCCAATCACATCTAAAGCCCATCCTCTGAATGGCCAGGGTTTTATAATTTCATGTAATTCACTTGCACGAACATGTTGTATGCCCTTATGCACTTGGCATTCTTGACAACCTTTAGCAAATTCGATGCAATCTTTTAGCATTGAAGGCTAATAGACACCTGAACGCACCAAAATTCATTTCATTTTGTGTCCTGCTTGATGTACACCACATGTTCCACTATGCACATTTGACACTGCTACATATGCCTCATTTTCTCCAACGCATTTAAGCAATATTCTTTCAGTAGTTTTCTTAAATAATTCATTCTCTATCAAAACATAAACGAGGGCGTGATACTTGATCTTACAATCTGTCGACCCCGTAGGGATGCGCAGATAGTCAGCCAATGGCTTTCACTGATCATTCTCTTTCCCATTGTCAATAGTTAAAATCTGAAAATATTTGGCATCTACAACCCCTAACTTTATTATTGGCAAATCTGAAGGAGATAACCAAGTTGCTCGAACTTTCTCTCTTACCTGAATAAGTTCTTCATTTTGGTCTTTCTTGTATCCTAGAGCTTCTTGTGCTAGGTCATTATCCTCTTCATTCTCTCGTCGAGGCATGTGTCGAATACTCACTTGTTCAAATTGCTTTAACAATATAATAGTAATCACAAAATACATGATTAAATTTTCTTTAACACATATGTATTACTTTGATACTTGTTTAATTACTAATTCAGAGTCTCTCATAATTTCGACGTTCCTTTCCCCCAATTATAGCAATAGCTCAAGTCCTGTTATTAGAGACTCGTATTCTGCTTCATTATTTGTACATATACCGTCGATTATATACTTGAACTTTGCTGGAATTCCACTAGGGGAAATTATAATTCCTCATATTCCAACTCCATTTTTATGGCTAGAACCATCAAAGTATAATTATCATGGCGCTAGATCTACATAATTCTGAGGCATACCAACCATTGAATGATCGACCAAGAAATTTGCTACCACTTATCCCTTCATTGCTTTTAAGGGCACATAAGTCAGAGAATACTATGTTAATGCCAAAGCCCATTGTAATACGGTGGGAGAACTGACTTAGTAGTTTTGCGTCCGATCGCAATTGTTGTGGATAGAAATAGTTGCCACCGACTTTTCTTTTATCCAATAAGGAAAGGGTGAAAAGAATAGGAAAGACCTTTTGATATTTTTCTTGTGTTCGGGGGGTAGGTTATAAAAAGGGAAGGTATTAGTACCCTTTTCATCCGTAGTTATCTACGGGCTCTTAGTTGCTTGCTATATCATTTTCTTTTGTTTGAAAATGTGCTTGTGGTTTGGGTTTGAAAGTATTTTGAAAAATGTCTTTGTAATGATTCTCGTCTCTATAAGAATATGTACAAAGTGTTGGTTTTGAAAATAGTTCAACGAGATGTTTGTGGAAAATGTTTTTGAAAGTGATTTTGAAAAGTGCCTTTGTAATGATTCTCGTCTCTATAAGAATGCATACAAAGAGCTTTGACTTTTGAAAATGTTTCAATTGAAAGTGTTGGTGTGAAAAAATGTTTTTATTGTGAGTAAGCGAGCAACTATGAGCATCCTACCTACTCAAAAGGTCTATGTTCTTTTCCTCCTCCTTTAAATGTTGCTATCTTACCATTGATTTGGTAAGAAGGCCCATAATTGGATGTGAAGGGACAAACGTGGGTCATTTGTACAGTCATAAAAGGCAACCTATGAGACATTTTAGCAATGTCGTATAGGGACTAGATCGTTTACCAAAGGCAACATCGAGGGAAATCGAGGTACTATGATATTTTATCAAGGGTCTTTGATAAAATGCCCATACTCGAGGGACATGACTATTTTCCGAGGCAACAAGTGAGATTACCCTAAAGGTGCATGTGTGTGCATCGTGTGTTTGATTGCATGTATTTTTGTCTTTGATTTTTGGGTTGTCTACTTGTTGGTTTTATCTTGCCATACATCCTAATTACTAACATTTGTATAAAGCAATAAAAATGCAGAAAATAAATATCCTACACTATTACAATCATATTGAATAAAAAGAAAATTTAAATACAAAACAAAATAAAAGAAGGAAAGGTGAGTTTTTTGATCCAGGAAGAATGTACCCTTCGATTCTACTCTTCCTGGCTTCTTTCGATTTGGGCCTAGCAGCCAGCGTGAGATGTAGCCTTTGATTTATCCTTCTCGCTGCTTCTTTCTATTGGGGCTTGGAAGTCAATGTGGACATCCTTCATTTCTCCCTTCCTGCTCCTTCGTTTGGACTATGAAGCAATATGGGCCTGCAAAGCAGCATGAGAGTGTATCCTCCGTTCACGTCCTCTTTGTCTTTTGTTTGGGACTGTGAAACATCCATGAGTGAAGCCTAAGGCTTCATTTCATACAAAACTTTTTCTTTTGTTTGGGGTCTGTTGTACCCCAAAATTTTCCCTCCCATATTTCTCAACACATGGAAAGTGAGGTCCCCAAATGGCCCAAGGAAGTTCAAGAGTTGACCAGACAAACTCTCTCCAAAGGCAACATACCTCAAATTAGGGTTTCCACCTTCATCAAGATGTGTGAACCACAAAGGACTCAAATGCTCACCATTGTCCTAATATGTTCTCAAGATCATCCATGTCAAGTTTTAAGCCTTGCAGAAGAAGTTTGCTCAGTCAATTGCTCAAATACCTGAAAATCAACTATGCTAGGTCAAAAGTCAACTGTGGCCCACATACAGTCAAACTTCAAGATTTTTGGTCAACATCCTCATTTTGAAGCATTCTCCATCATTTTATCAAGGGTTGATCTTGATTCCTCAAGAATTGCTCACAATTCATCAAAACCCAAAAGTTGCTAAATTAGGGTTTTACAGGAAAAGTCAACTCAATTTTGACCAATCATAACTTTCTCATACTTTATCATAAATGACCCATCTAGAGCTCATTTTGAAGAGTATGCAATTCATTAAAATTCATCTTCATCTCCCAAGTTCAAAATATGCACTCACAAAAAGATATGAATTTTGACATTATAGGTCCTTTTGAAAAGTCAACAAAAATACCTTTTGGGTCAAAGCTTCATATATGAACATGGAAGACTCAATTGAAATGAGACCAAAAGGGTGGCTTAGAGGACATCCTAAGATTTCTAAAAAGTCTAAGAACACCTCTCTAGGGTCAAAATTGAGAGAGTTATGCATTGGCCAAGTTAGCCATTTTTTCAAAATTTCCAAAAGTCAAATGTACTCAAATTTGCATTTTTTGCTAAATGGACCCAACTTTTTATGCTTGCACCTCACTTATAATGTGGTCCACGACTCAAATAATTATCCACCAATTATTTGCTCCATTTTTTAATTTATTTTGATTTTTCATTGATTTAAAAGTGAATTAAATCAAATAAATGATGAAAATTATCAAAGATATGATTTGATTTGTTTTTTTGACAGGTTAGCAACCAAGATAAGATGAGCTTGCTATATCAATTCGAATCAATGACAATTGGAACAAAAATAGAATGATTAGGCCAAATTTGGAAGGATATCATATACCATGAAAACCAAATCAAATCTTCAAGATTTGTAAAGAGACTAGTGGTTTTTACAACCCTAATTCACTCTAGTACATATAGAGAACGCATCCAAGGCAAGGAAAAAGGAGGACAGTCGTGGAAAAGCTAGAACCAAACTTCAAAATTTCAAAGAAAAGTGGTGATTCAATTTCCATCCTAGAGGCCAATCCAAGCCATTCTAACATTACCAACAGATTGCTGGACATCCCAGGAACATATCCCAATCAATTGCAAGCATTCTCACGTCCAGAATCGTAAGTTACAGGTACCACGGTTTGCCTCCAAACTCAATTTCGGTTTCATTGATTTACTCATCATAAGCATGTTCGAATTATATATTCTTATTCATCATTGAGTTTGTAAGCTATTGGTATCATTTAATTGCATTTTCAGTACAGGAATCACGATATGCCATGATTAGGGTTCCAAGCTTATTTTGGGGGCTTCTTAGTACATGCCAAATTAGGAACGAACATGGATACCATGATGATCAGGGCTTCAAGCCCAATTGATTCATGGCCTCCAATGAAATGTATATCGTGTTTGCTGCATTTTTGGAGTTGACAGGGTTTTAGCTAAGGAGTTATGTCTGTAGGTAAAGGTATCGTTGCCTAAAATGACAGGTCGGGGAAGAAGATGAGGCCTGGCAGTCCATGGTTGGCCCGTTTGAATTTTCACGAATTTTCTGAATATATTTCTTTGTTTTGCTTACATTACTTTATTGTTATTATATGAACAAATGGAGCGTGTAGCACAGATGGTAGCATGGTATTGGAAGTGAGCATGAAAACCAGGGTTCGATCCCCAGGTCCCTACCTTTGTTCATATTATTTTGTTTCATGAGATCAGGTACACTGCAGCCTCAAGCGCCCACCGTATGCCATCAATATCTAGCCATCAAACGCATCTTCAGCCAAGATCCAATGCCTTTCAACTGAAGGACCGTCATACACCTCAAGTCAACAGCCATACCGAATCAGGCATAATCAATACAGGCTTGGATTGTTGGGCCCATAATTTCAACAACATACTCCCAGAATTGCTAAATGATATCAGGCCCACTTCTAATATTCCTCTCTTATTTTTATTCTTTTAATATTTCTTTTATTTATTTTAATTGACAATTAATTATTATTTTTCATAAAATCACAAAATCAAGAATTCATAAAAAATTAGAATTAGTTTTTTTTATTATCAAAATTAATTTAATTTAGTTTAAATTAGGGCAATTTTAACTTGTTTTTTTTATAATTAAAACTAATTAGCAAATTAGGTTAAATTCTTGAATTGATTCTTTTTTTTTCTCAAATAAATAAAAATACAAAAATAGGTTTTTTAGAATAAATTAGTTTATTTTTCTTAAATTAAAATTAATTAGAATTAGGATTTTCTTTTTAATTTAATGGTTTCATTATTTTCTTAAAAAAAACAAAAACATTTTTTTAATCAATTGTCAATAGGTTTAGTCAAGGGTCAAAACCCTAGTCGTTTCGTATTTGATTCATCGCGCGCTTATTATTTATTTTGACAATATTTTTGTAACTGTTCATGGTTTGTAATAGTTTAATTTAGGGTTTTATTTACTGTTTAAATTCCCGGGTTTTTGGCTATGTATTAATCCTCCACCCCGAAGCCTTGTAATAGTGTAGATTTATTTTCTCGCATTTTTAATTCCTGCAAATATTTAACTGTTTAGATGTATGCTAATAGGATTGTATGACAAGAATGCATGACAAATTAATACAGCTAGAAAACCCTAATGTGCAAAGATAAATAACTGAAACGAATCACTCGCATATATTCACTCTTAGGGTATACTCTCACTTCGGTTGCCTTCGGTAAACGATCATTAAGCATAGGGTGTCTTAGTAGTTGCCCTCCTGACTAAAAAAGGATCAAAATGTCCCATGCGAATGTTGCCTCGAAAATGTTGCCTCGAATATGATCTTAAGACTTTAGGGTTATTACTAAGATGTCCTAATATTGCTTCAGTGATCGTACGTCCCTTTCGAATTGACCCTTACAACTCCAACGATGGTGCTGCCTATTTCTCAATAGTAGGATAGTACTGTCTAAAGGAAACGAGAATAGAAATGATCTTTTTTCGAGTAGGTAGATGCTAGTAGGTACTTGCTCAAATCAAAGCTTTTCACACTTACACTTTTCAAACAAATTTTCAAAACAACTTCGTCACACTCTTGAGGACTGATACAAGGGTTATCACGAAGTAAAACATTTTCAAAACAAAGGACATACACAAGCAATTTTAAAAAGATGAGCAAGTACCTAAGAGCCCATGGAAAACTGTACTCAGAATATCTCGAAAAAGGATTTTTTTTCTGTACTTTTTTCCTTTTCAGTTGGATGAAATAAAAGTCGGTGGCGACTCTTGCTTACCGCGACATTTTGCGAATAAAAAATGCAAAATGCAAACCAGTATTAAACAGTCGGTTCTGCCACCGTATCACAGGGTCTGTACAGGTTAGTTCTACCATGTATTTGGACAAGAAAAAACAAACCAAAAAGGGGAGAAATGAAAAAGCAAACAAATGGTATTTACACGTTATGTTTGAAACGAAAAGCTTAAGGTTAAGAGGACTTACCTTGCTTGACATTGGGGTGTGTGGGTTGTTTCTAGATTCGAAGAAGAAGAACAGGTGTAGTGTTCCTTCAGCTGGATTCGAAAGAAAAACAAAGTGTGGCGTTGCTCATGGATTCAAAAGGGAAAAGAAACCGGTGTTGTGTTTCTAGTGTTGGATTCGAAAGGGACATAAACAATGGTATGGTCTTGTGATTCTGGGTTTGAGAATGTGTTAAGTGTTTGATGATTTTCACACAATCAAAGTTTCTAGCGATAAAAAACCTTTGGATGTGTTGTCCAGCCCCTTAGACGTGTTATGGAGCCTCTTATTTATAGATGAAGTTAGATGAGGATTAGGAGGGAAAACAAAAGAAATTTGAACAAATTAGGTATACAGTTTTTGTAGCTTTCGAGGGGTAGTATTTGTATGCCAAATTGGTGTAAATACAGGAGCAGCATAACAGGACTACTATGCAGCAGTTTTGGAGCGTTATGGCCAGTGCATCAGGCTTGGACCTACAACAAGTATATTTGAATATTTGACGTCATAGGTCCAACCTTCGACCAGACTCCTCTTCAGACAGTAATATTTGTTTCAAGTGTCTTTCGAATAAGCCCTTTTTATGCATCCTTCGAAGGGGCCAAATCTGTGCCCCTTGAATGGGAAACCAAGATATGTCCTTTGAATGGGACATCCAGGTATGTCTTGTAGGTCCTGTGGATGGGCCACCAAACATGTCCTTCGAATGGGACATCCAGATATGTCTTGCAGATCCTTCGAATGGGCCAGCAATTATGTGTCATGGTGTGTTGAAGATTTTCAAGGGTGGAGTCGAAGCAAGCTATTTCAAATGGAGATATTGTCCATTCGAAACTAGTATGAAGATAGCCAATGCATGAGGGAAGTTCCTGCCTTATGGTGTGAAACAAGCAGGAGAGAAAACTTTTGCTTCCTGGATCGAAACAAACACTGTAAAGGGCCATTGCTTTGTGAATCAAAGCAAACATGTAAGGGGTCATTGCTTCAATCGAAGCTTGCATGCAGGAGTCCACTTGCTTTGTGGGCACTAGCATGAAGGGAAGCCTTTGCCTTTTGCAGACAGGTATGCAGGAGGCCCTTGCCTTGTGCACCATGTAGGAGGCCAATGCTGAAGGTGGATTCGAAGCAGACATGAAGATGAATTCAAAGCAAGCTTGGAGGGAGTTATTTGTCTAATCGAAACAGGCATGCAGGCATCAAATGTCCAATCGAAAAAGGCATGCAGGCAAACATTTGTCCAACTGAAACTTGCATGCAAGATGTCACATGGTTAAACGAAGGATGTAATCTAAACTTGCATTCGAAAGAAGTCACCAGCTCAAACGAAAGACGTAAACCAAAGCTTGCATAAAAGGGGACTTCATGGCCAAACGAAGGATGTATACCAAGCTTGCATCGAAAGAGGCCAACAGCCCAATCGAAGGATGTGAAATTGAAGTGGGCATGCTCTTCTTTGATTTGATGCTTGAAAGCCCAATTGTACTTTGTGCAAATTTGAACTTTTGAAAATCCTTGTGAGGAAATGTCTTGAGAGATGAGAGGGAACATTTTGGGGTACAACACCCATTTACCAATTCGACTATGTAAAATAGATTTGGAAAACATGTGCTTAATAATATCGAAATGAGAAGGTACATACACATCAACAAGCTTTATATATTGCTTTAATTTAATATAAGAGAAATACAAGCAAAGGCATAGTTTTTCTATATCATTATACCTAGTTTCAGGATCATTCAGCATTCGACTAAGATAATATATAGGTCTCTCGACACCTTTTTCGTCCTGTTGGACTAACATACTTCCTATAGTCGAATCTGAGGCTGCAATATATAACCTCATAGGCCTATGTCTAATAGGAGGTGCCAATATTGGAGGCTTCACTAAGTAGTCTTTGATTTTTTCGAAAGCCTCTTGATGCTCCTCTTTCCAAACGAAATCGCCATTCTTCAGTCGAAGTAGTGGTGAAAATACTTTGGTTTTTCCACTTAAGTTGGATATGAAACTCCTTAGGAAATTTATCTTGCCCAACAAAGACTGAAGTTCCTTTTTGGTCGACGAAGGTTTGACGTCCATGATGGCTTTGGTCTTGCTTTGATTCACTTTTATGCCTTTTTTATGCACCATAAAGCCAAGAAAATCACCTTCCTGCACACAAAAAGAACATTTTAATGGATTCATTTTTAATCCATATTTCCTCATCCTTTCAAAAGACTCTAGAAGGTATTGTAGATGAATCGATTTACTGTTCGACTTTATTACAATATCATCAATATAAACTTGCATGAAACCTTCAATAAAATCATGGAGCATAGAATTCATTACCCTTTGATATGTCGCTCCGACATTTTTCAAACTGAATGGCATGACAACCCATTCATAGGTTCCGAGTGCCCCTGGGCAGCGAAAAACCGTCTTCGACACATCTTCATATGCAATCAAAATTTGGTTATAATCAGAATAACCATCAAGCATACTTAAATATTCAAAATTGACAGCAGAGTTGACCAACATTTCTGCCACATGCATAGCATATTCATCTTTAGGAGTAGAAGCATTTAAATCTCTAAAATCTATGCACACTCTTAATTTTCCATTTTTCTTAATTACTGGCACTATGTTTGCCAACCAGTCGACATACCTTGCAGTTCTTATGAATATGCTTTTGAGGAGTCTTTCTATATCCTCTTTGATTTTTGACATTATTGTTGGAGCGAAGCGTCTGGGAGTCTGCTTCACTGGTTTCTTTCCAGCTTTTATTGGTAACTTTAGTTCGACCAAATCCCTGCTTAAACCTGGAATTTCGTTATAGTCCCAAGCAAAACAATTCTTTAAATTCTTTAAATAAAGATATTACCTCAGACTTTAACTTTTGGTCGATGTTGGCGCTGATATAAGTTAGTCTTTTATCCCTCTTTTCGCCAAGATATATTTCTTCTAAAGGGTCTTGTGGCTGCATTCTTTCTGGTGCCATCGGATCCTTTTTGAAGCCTAAGGGTTCTTCATCATATATGCAGTCCAGACGCTGCTTATCGACGTTTTCTTCGAGCACTTCTTTTTTATCTGGTGGCTTTGGCTCAATAGCCAAAGTAGCTCCTTCATTCAGAATTTGTGTCTTATTGGCTTCGACAACCATATTTTCTTCAGCCTGTAGCGCCAAATATATTTTACTTTCGGTAATATATGCTGAAATCCTTTTCAGAACATCTAGCTCAGACATCATCACTGATGTCTCCCCAACCTGTCGGTCGGTTGTCACAATATGGATCCTCAAGACGTTCCACATCCCATATAAAACCATGGGTCTCATGTAACTTCAACGAAATAAATGCCTAATCAAGGTTGGCATACACATCTTCAACAGATTTACATGGGGAGAGGTTAGCTAATTTCCTGTCAAATTGCTTCTTACCGATATTATTCACGTCTGCCCTAAAATATCGTTGATCAGCTTCAATGTTCTGAACAATACCATCTTCCCTCTAAATCACCAAACGCTGGTGCATAGAAGATGGTACATCCCCTACACCATGCAACCATTCCCTTCCTACTAAGAGGTTGTAACTTGGCTTGCCTTAAATCACCATGAATATAGTCGGCGTAGCAACGGAGCCGATAGTAATATCAACTTGGATTAAACCCATAGTGTTTCTAGTCCTTCCTTCGTAGTCTGATAAGACCATGTTATGATATTAAACATCGGTGTCAAATTTACCAATTTTATGAAATAGGTGGTGTGGCATAATGTTTACCGTAGCACCACAATCTACCAACACCTTGTTGATAGCCTCCCCTTCAAGCTTAGCCATTATTAAAAGAGGCTTCAAATTGCTCCTCACGTCCATATCTGGTCTTTCAAAGAACGCATATTGGTTCTCAATCAAACCATTATTCATCACAAAGTAACATGTTGGCTTATGTAAAGCCATCTCCTCAGCATCAACGTCTGCTGAATCTTCCACTTCAGTTAAGTAATTATATTCTGCTGGAAGAATTGATACCACATTAACTAAGATATTCAAACTCTCTTCAGACTCAGACTCAAAAGTGTCAGTAGCTTCTTAAGAACACTTAGCAACTGATCGACTCACGAACTCTTTGATTCGTTCTTTTGTAGAGGAATCGACCTTCACTTTATACTGCTTCTGATTTCCAGCTTTGTTTGCAGCAATATGGCCAGCAGATGATTGCCTCTCTACCTGCTTTCGACGCTGGAAGCGTCTCCATTGGGTTCGAGTCATGGGATTCTTTCCCATGTAATTTTCAGAAATATGACTTTTCCTCTCAGACTTAAACTCATGTCGGTAGTTAATAGTCGACTTTCCTTTGTTTGGGTATCTAGCAATAGAACCATGTTGTACCCCAAAATTTTCCCTCTCATTTCATCAACATTTCTCATCACAAGACTCTTGGAACTCAAGATCAAGCTAGGGTTTGCTCTGCTCAAGACACCTCCTTGCACTGTTGACTCAAATTAGGGTTTGAGTTTGCACAGGGATGTTTTGACCTAAAATGCCCAAAGTGACTTTCATACTTCATATTGGACTCATAAGTTTGTCCATACCAAGTTTCAAGCCTTGATTCAAATTTTTGCCCAGTCAATTGGACAGTTGACCTAGAAATCAGTTGTATTGGGAAAAAGTCAACTGTGGCCAATTGACAGTCAAACCTCATGAAATCTGACCCACATCAACACTATGAACTCATATGAACCATTTGATCAAGTTTGGATCACAATTCCACAAGAAATTTGATCAGATCATCAAAAGGGCAAAATGGTCATTTTTAGGGTTTTACCTGTACAAAGGCAATTTTTGACTGTTTGACCTAGGCAATGGCAAATCAAGCTCAACCATGGACTCAAGGACTCAATGACATTGTCTTGACCCATTCAACAAGTTCAAAAGATCTCAAATGCATAGGATTGACAGATGAATTTTTCAATCAACTGATCAAAATTTAACTGTATACTGAAAAGTCAAACTTTGACTTTTTGGTCAAAATCAAGTGCCAAGGGTCATTTTTCATCAAGACATGTAAACTTATGAAACTTGTTCATCAAGAAACCCAAAAATGCAAATTAGGGTTTAAAATGGAAAAAATTTCATAACTTTGAAATTTTACAAGTTATAAAATTTTCTTATTTTTTTCCTAACTTTGTCCCATTTTTTCACCAAGATGCAAATGGATTCAAACAAAACTTGCAACATGAAAGTTGTAGTCCATCATAAAGTATACAACTTTGATTCACAAAGTTTTCTCAAAAGAGGCTTGTATCTCAAGTTATGATTTTTGGAACAAGGGTACCTAAAAGTTTTAACTTAGAGAAATTTTGCCCTAGTTTAGGCAGGATTTTGACCCATCTTCTTGGCCATTTTTCACATAGTTTCACTTGGAGTTTCAAGTTTCATTTCAAAGATGGATTGTATTACATGTTTCAAGCTTTCCAAATTGTCTAAGAAATCCTCAAACACATTTGTGGTTAGGGAGAATCAAATGCTTGAAGTTGGCAAAAACTCATTTTGTATCCATGGCCAATACATGTTCATACAACTTGCATTTTTAAACCAACATGCTTTGTAATAGCTTGCAGGCCTCTAAACCATTTTACACTCCTTAATTGAATGCAAATCCACTGAGCTAATGCATTATCTTGGCCATTTGGGCATTGTACACAAAACTAATCCCTATTTGGAAAAAGGTACATTGCCATTTTTGAAAAGTTATACTTTATATCAAACCAAGATCTTTAAAGCATGGGGCCATATCTCTGAAGCAAGATCAAATCCACAAATTGTAAGTATCAAGGGCAAAGTGTGCAGCATACAAGATAGAGGTTACAGGCCTGTAATCACAGGTTACACTTTCTTGCTTAAAAAAGAAGAAATTTGTCCAAATCTTGCCAACTTGAAAACCAGTCCATGATAGCTTAAACAAAGATTACAAACACATCTCACCCAACCCTTGAAGCCCTAAATACGAGCTTTTTATCACTCAAACCTCCTGGTACACAAAATCACCATTTTCTGCAAAACAGGGCAAGCCCTGAAGAATCACCTCCATCTCCACTTTGCCTCGTGCGTTTGGCCTCAAACTTGTTCCAATACCTTCCATTCAACTCACCTGAACTATTCCAGACCTCCATTGCCAACTGTAACTCCATTAACACACATTGCCATTTTTGTTTGGAAGCTTTGCAGGTTGAGTTCTGTAGCACGATTCAGGCTACTTCAAAACAAACTAAGCATTGGGAAAGCTTCAGTGGACATCAGGCAAGCTCAAAAGAACCTCAAGCACCCTTGGAAGTTGCTGCATTGTCCAGCTCGAAGTCAACTGAAACAGGTATTTCATGAACTTATATCTCTCTATTTAGGAATAGTTAGACTTAGGTTTGTGAATGAAATATGTTGTATTCATAGCCCTGAAACCATACATGTGCTTAGTTTTCATTTATATTAATCGTGCTAGGAGAATTTCATCCATGAACTTTCTAAAAAAACTAGGTTAGAAATTAGGGCCAGAGAAATTCTCTCTGGTCTTTGAGAGTTAGCTTAAGTTTTTTATATGGTTAGATTCGTTGTTTGATGCTCTACAAGTTTCATGTTATGAGTTTTGTCAAAAAAGCACAGAATCAGGAAATAACAGTTTGTGTGGAAAACGCGCGTTTTTGTTTGAACTGAGGAAGAAGATGAAGTTGATGGGTTGGGCTGGCTCATTTTTTGCTTCTAACACATGCATTTTCAGTTCACACCCCCTGGCCCATTTCTTTGTATATTTGTCATTTTTGCATTTTTATTTTTTTCTCTGACTTTGATATTTTATTTTCAAGCATAAAAAATATTCTAAAAATATTTTCACATTTTTTTTCATTTATTAGATATTTTATTCTAATTTTTCCTAATGTAAACATGTTTAAATATTTTATATTCTTTTGTTAAAACCTAAAAATAATACAAATAATACTTAAATAATTTATTTTATTGTTATACACATTTGAAAATATTTTCTTGAAATATATACATTTTGTAAATATTTTATTTTATTTTTTGTACACACTTAATATATTTAATACATATATATACATATTTTATTAAATAATTAGAACAAAAAACACAAAAGTAATACATTTTTATTTTTATTAATATTTTACACTAAAAATACATTTTTTCAATATACTTTTATTTTTTGTACAAATTGATACATTATTGTACATAAATAATAAATAATACTATTTATTTAAGAAATTAGGGTTTTTGCCCTAAAACACAAAAATAATTAAAATTGACTTTTTGTTTATTTCTTTACATTTCTCTCCATAAAAAATACTTTTTTACATACATAAAAAACCTTTTTGTATAATGCATTTTATCTAACATTTATTTATTGTATTTTATTTAATTATTGTACATTTAAATATTATGCCTTGCAAATTCAATATGGTTGTAATAATTTAGGATTTAATTTCTTGCAAAATAATCCCCAATTTAAATTTGTACCCCCTCCCTATATCATATTGTAATAGTGTAGAATTTAAATTCTCGCACCTTTAAAATGCTTTCAATTATGCCATGATTAGACTTAGGGTTTTGTATGTAAAAAATCAAATTAACAAGTAGTTTGACCTAATCAAAAGACAAAAATGCATGAAAAACAAACACAATGCACACTTGCACCCCTAGGGTTTCAATCCACTTGTTGCCTTCAAAAATGGGCCATGGTATGCATGTCAAGTACTTTGGCAAAACAAAAACAATACAAAGATCATAGTCCCTCGATGACGCTATCTGAGTTGCCTAAACAAAATGATCAAGTCCCTCAAGAAAATTGCCAAAATACTTGACATTATTGTTATCATGGTCTATACGATGACCCGCGCCTATCCCGTTTAACATCCTAACACAAGGTTGTTCACCAAATACAATGGTGAAACAACACTGTTAAAAGGGTTAAAAACATAAGAAAGATCTTTGAGTAAAATAGGGTAGACAACTCTTAGTTACTTGATCAAAACTTGCAAAACCATCCTTGCTATTTTCAAAAAACACTTCACAACATAATTTCAAAACCCTACTTTCAAACATTGAAAACTTTTCAAAAGACAAAAACACCTTTGTATACATTCAAACAAGAATCATTACAAAGGTTGCCACAACGATGGCCTCTTTTCAAAAACATCTTTCAAAACCACACACAAAGCACCATTTCAAACAATTGAAGAGCACCATTTCAAACAATTGAAAAGCAAAGCAAGTGATCTAAGAAACTAACTAAGAGCCCATGGATAACCATGGATAGAAAGGGTACTAATACCTTCTCTTTCTATAATCTACTCCTCGAACCCAAGAAAACATCTCAAAGGTCTTTCCTGTGCTTTTTGACCCTTCTTTAGGATAAAATAAAAAGTCGGTGGCGACTCTTGCTAAACCGAAACATTTGCGAACACAAACGCAAAATCCCAAGTCATTTCTCCCACCGTATCACACACCATCAATTGGTGCCCCCCTTCTCCCTTGAGGCTTAATCCAAGTATCGTTAGGAGCTTTTGCTGAAGGAATATAACTTCTTGGTTTGGCATGGGAGTTTCCCACAGTTCTTCTTGGGTCCCTTATGTAGGGAACCTTTGGTTGTACTGTTTGCCCTTGTTCTTTTCTAACTGCAACTTCTGGAAATTTCCAGCATCTATTTTGTCAGTCAAGGCGCCACACCTAGGACACAAGCAAGCTTGCGAACCTTTGTTCTTACAGCGGTAAAGGAAGTATAGCAAGTCCTCCTCAAGCCTTGGGTACACATCAGCTAAGTCGACATCAGGACTTTCTCCAGTACCCTCTTCGATCATATCATCATTCGGAAACTCAGTAATTTCTACCATGTTGATGTCAACAGGGTCGAGAAACAAAGCCTCCTCTTGCCTAAGAGGATCAGTATTAATCTTCATTTTCTGTGAAGCAAATTTCAATCTACCCTCCTGCAGCGATTTTTGTACGAGATCCTTGAAAAGATAACATTGAGAGGTTGTGTGACCAAGATAATTATGAAATATTCAAAAACCTCTTTTTTGTCGTTATTCTAATGGTGGTAATTTAGCACCTGAGGGTACTAAAATTTGACCATCTTTAACTAACAAATCAAAAATTTCTTCACATTTAGTGACATCAAACGTATAAGTTTTCGCAGGAAATTTTGGATTGTTTTCAACTGTATTTTTCCTTTAGCAGGAAATAGTGATTTACATTCATATGATGGCCCTGGCTTCATTTCAGCCACTTCGACCTCTGCCTCTGTTGGTGAGGTATAGTCGGCCTCACAAATGGGATATGTGTCATCATAATCTATGAAGGCTACTTTTTCTTTCTTAGTCCTAGCCTTAGTATGTCTGACATTTTCTAGTCGTAGACGCTCTAGATGTTGAACTCTATTAGCTAACTGTGACATACTCTTCACGAAGGTCGGATCTATTTTCTTCCTAATGGAATAATCTAAACCTCCAGCAGTCATTTGAACAAGCTCATGTTCTGGTACTTAAGTAAAGCATCTTGCTTTCAATGACCTAAATATATTTAGATAATCATCAATGGTTTCAGCAAACCTTCTTTTAATGGTTGAAAATTCAACCAAACTAATTTTGTAATGACCCTCATAAAACTGTTCATGGAAAAGTTTTTCTAACTTAGTCCACGAGTCAATTGAATTTGGAGGCAAAGTGGTAAACCACGTGAAAGCTGCCTTAGTAAGGGAAGAAGGAAAATGTTTTACCCTTAAGTTTTCATTATTCGACATATCCCCAAATTCAGTCAAATACCTAGCAATATGTTCCACTGTCTACTCTCTAGATTCTCCCCTGAATTTTCTATACTTAGGAATTTCCATCCTCTAGGGTTTTCAGCTTGTAAGATATATTCAAGCAAAGGGGAAGAATATGTTGGCCTCTGTCGAATTTTCTACAATTTGTTCAGACTCTTGAATGTTTGAGCGTCATCAACCTTTGTGACCACCTTGAACCTTGTTCATTCTTTAATACAGATTGGGGAAGATGAGAAATAAACCATCTTGCCAAGAGAGGAGTGCAACACATAAGGACACCTCTTTTCCTCATTGTGCGAGTGTGAAAAGAGTGTAGGATATCTCCTAGCAATGTAGGCACCGGGTTGCGGGATATGAAGATTTTGACGGCGTCCACATCTATGAGTTGGTCAAGATTTGGAAACAAAACCATCCCATAGATGAGGAGAGCCACAATTTCCTCAAAGGCTTGCAAGTCTAAGGAATTCCAACAGCTTTGGGCTTTCTCAAACAGGAACTTTGCTAGGAAACCTTTGACACCACTCCTTGTTTCCCAATGAGTTGTGACATCAGATGAGTGCAAGTGTAGATCTTGAGCAATCTTTTCTGGCTTTGGGAATCTTTCCGTACCGTTGAAAGGTAGTTGATTGAGAATGAGAATCCTCAAGAGTTGGGAGAATTCTTCCAAAGTAGGCACAAGTTGATAGTCGGGAAATGTGAAGCAATAGTGTAAAGGATCAAAGAACGGAAAAAGCACTTTCATCATGTCCTCATCTGTGTTGGAGGTGACCAAGTTGAGTAGGCGACCATGTCTCTCGGTGAATGGAGAGTTTTCAGGAATCCTTGAAACTAGCTCCTTAAGTTGTGGAGGGATCCTTACAAGGTTGACTTGAATAATTTTCCTGCGAAGTGAATCCATATCCTACAAAACAAGAACAAAGATGAATCCCAAAATCCTTAAAATGGTTAGTGGATGTATATGATGTTCATGATGTTCATGATGTTATGTACAAGTATGCATATACAAGCAAAGCAAACAAGTCCTTAGGTTTAGGCTTGCATGGAGTTTTATAGGTAAGTACCCTCTTGAAGTTTAGTTGGCTCAAACCTGTCCTAGTAATACTAACTAGGTTCTAAGGAGCTCAATATCACTGGTTTGTTTCCTTGGTCATTGTTTCAGCTCAAGCCTCTTTAATGGCGACCTAAATATCCCAAGAAACCAAATCTCAATGAGTGTAGTGTCGAGTATCTACCAACTTCGGACTACACCAAAGTCGGTCATCTCACTACATCCTAAAGGCCAAGTTGGTCAAGTAAAGGTTCTAGAAGTTCATTAGTGTTTCATGACATCACTCAGCGGCCCCGTATTTTATTTGATTAATTCAAAGGCTACCGGTACCCACAAATATGTCACACTAACGTAGCTATTGCTTAGACCATGTCGGTATACCCCGCACAGTTTCCATAACGTATTGCTACTTACCTATAATGTATCCCAAATTCGGGTAGAGGATTCAAACCCAAACAAAGAACCATAATGTAAAGCATACAACTCAAACAATATAAGAAAATAAATGTGATTTATCCCTAATGTAACCCCACTTTTAAAAATGTCCCCAGCAGAGTCGCCAGTTTTGTGATGCGGTGGGAGAACTGACTTGAGGTGTTTGCATTTTATTTAAAATGTTGCGGTTAGCAAGAGTCGCCATCGACTTTTCTTTTATCCAAAAGGAAAGGTGAAAAAGTACAGGAAAGACCTTTGAGATTGTTTCTTGAGTTCGGGGGGTAGATTATGAAAAGGGAAGGTATTAGCACCCCTTTCATCCATGGTTTTCTATGGGCTCTTAGTTACTTGCTAGATCACTTGCTTTTTTGTTTGAAATTATGCTTTGTGTGGTTTTTGAAAGTATTTTGTAAAGAGGCCATTGTTTAGGCAATCTTTGTAATGATTCTTGTTCGTAAGAATGTATACAAAGATGTTTGATCTTTTGAAAATGTTTTCAAGTTTGTAAGATGTTTGAAAGTGTATATGATTGTTTTGAAAATAGCAAGGATGTTTGTTTTGAAATGGAGCAAGTAATTAGGAGAAATCTACCAACTCAAATGTCTTTCTTGTATATTTTCTTTTCCTTTGACATTGTTGTCTTACCATTGATTTGGTAAGCAACCCTATCTTTGGATGTTAACGGGACGGACGTGGGTCATTGTATAACCATGATTAGCAATGTTGCAAGGCATCTTAGCATTCTTTTTGAGAGACTAAGATCATTTTATAAGGTAACTTTGAATAACGTCATCGAGGGACTATGATCTTATATTTTCTTCTTTTTTTTTTGCTAAGACACCTTACATGCGTAATATGGCCATTTTTGTAAGGCAACCAAGTGGGATAACCCTAGGGGTGCTTGTGTGCAAGTGTGTTATTTTCATGCTTGTTTTTTTATCTTGGATTAGGGTTTTCTATTTGATTGATTTTATTCTTTCCATACAAACCCTAATTACTAGCATGTTATGTAAAGGCGATAAATTGCGAAATTTAAAGTTACTACGCTATTACAACATTTACGGGAGGGGGTATACAATTTATGAATGGGGATTGCAATGATATAAACCTAATTAATCTATTACAACCAAATTGAATATGTACAAGAATTGGAGAAATTTATAAAGTACAAATGCAAATTGAAAGAAATGATTTTTGTGTTTGGACTTTTGTATGAAAGAGGTTTTAACCTAAACCTAATTAAAAAAGAGTAATTAAGTTAAATTAACTTAAGTTAATAAAAGAAATTATTTAAGAAAAGATTTTGATTAAGAAGAGAAATTTTGAATAAAACTCTATATCTATTTTAGTTGATTAAAAGAAAATAAGTTTAAAGAAAAACAAGTATTTTTTTGTATTTTTTATATTTTGTCTTGAAAATAATATGTAGTGTCATGAAATATTTTTGGTCCTTTTTATATTAAAAATAAGTGTATTTAAATAAGTAATAATCTAGTTTTAATTTACAAAGAAATTAATAAGAGTATAATGAATAAAAATAATTTTTTTTATTTATGTGAAAAATATTTAAATTATGTCAAAATATAAATTTATTATTTTTATACATTTTATGATTTTTTTGGTATTTTAGAAAATATGTTTAAAAGAAAAAATAAATAAATAAATAAATAAATAAAAATAAAATGGGCCAAGGTGGTGTCACAAGTAAACAGGGTGTATGCTAGCAAAAACAAAAAAGAATGCCAGGCCCAAAGGGCCCAGCGCCTGCAAGCAAAAATCAAAAGAAATGTCAAAAATATGAAGAAAAAAAAAAGCAAAATGGTCACGCTGGGGCTTGAACCCAGGACCATAGGATGAACAGGTGCGCGCTTTACCACTGGGGTGACTATACATCCGTTTATATAGGCAAAACCATAAATATATAAGGCAAATCCAGTCCTGATGGCTTCATCTTCAACCTCCAGCCGGTGTACTTGTAACTTCTCCATTTCTCAACAAAAATGGAAAGTGACAAAATGAAAGTTGTTGCATTCTTCCTCACGATTCTAACCATGTAAATAACTAAGGCTGAAAGTCAAAGATAAGTGAGAATTTCTCTGGCCCTAATTTAAACCCTAAAAATTTCAGAAACTTCAACTCTAAAATTTTCTAAGCTCAAGCCATATAAATGCAAACTATGGATATGTACAGCTTCGTGGCAATGAGGTCTACAATTTGTCTTCAAAAATGAAAGCCTAACAATGCCTAAGTAATGAGATAAAAGTTCAAGAAAAATACCTCAAAACTGGAAATCATGGAATGCAGATGAGCTTGTTTCAGTCAGTGCTGATGGTCAGGTTAGCTTCCTTGGACCTCTAGGAAGCTAATGCAATGGATGGCTTGAGCTGAGGATGGCTGGAATGGCCTGGAGAAGTCCAACTGTGATGCTATGTTTTTGGTTATGGAAGATAGGGAAAATGGTGTTACAGAAATGAAACATGTACAAGGATGAGTTAGTCTTGATGCAAGGAAGCTTTAGAAACTAAAAGGCCAAGAAACGCACGAGGGAAATGTGAGTTTGGTATGAAAAGTCAGAACTTGCACAACAATGGTGTTTTGGGACAATTTCTAGATAGAGGGAGATTGAGTGAGTTTTAGGGGCTTCTTGCTCATGTGTTAACTTGCAAATAGTGTGTATACTTATAAGCAAGAGGTTTTGAGGCTTGTAACAACTCATATTTTGAATTTGCATCCTTAAGCCAAACATGTGATTTTTGAGAAAACAAGTTTCAATGCTTGTGTACTTGCTAAGATAGAGTAGTTCATGCTTTAAACAAGTTTGTTTCTGAATTTGTGGATGGAGTGTGATCAGAGGAAACAAGTTAGAGGCTCAAGAATGACTTTATGCAAAAAGCTTGCTTTACAAGAATGGAAGTGTTCACTTTGTGCCATTAATGGAAATACAACTTGGATAATAGCTCATTTGCTTGGATCAAAGCCTTAACAATTGTGTAAGCATTTAATTAAGGAGTGACAAACAATTTTGAGGCCTGCAAAGCAAAGATTATGCAGCCGAGCATGGATTTGCATTTGTGTTCATCATGAAAATGACCTAAATTCAAGTGATGAAACCCTAATTCCATATCTTCGATTCTCCTTGCTCAAGAATGATCTCAAGGAGTTCTTAGACATTTTGGAAAGCTTGAAATGTGCTCTACAACTCATATTTGAATTGCTTTTGAAGATTCCCCTTGGAACTATGTGAAAATTTTCCATGAAGTTAGGTCAAAAATCTGTCTAACTAGGGCAAAATTTCACTAAGTCATTTTTAGTTCATGAGCATGTATTCACAAAATTATAACTTGATATACAAGCATTTTTAGGATAAGTTGTGTGAAGAAAAGTTGTATATTTCATGGAGATCTACAACTTTAATGTTGGAAGTTTCTCTTAAATCATTTTGCATCATGGTGGAAATTTAGCTCAAAGTTGTGAAAAAATAAGAAATTTTCTATACTTAGAAAAATTTCTAAGTTAAGAAATTTCATCTTTTCAAAATAAAATCTTGAATTCTTGATTTCTTGATGAACAAGTTTCATATTTTGACATGTTTTGATGAATTATGATCTTTGACATTTGATTTTGACCAAAAAGTCAAAGTTTGACTTTTCAGTATATAGTTGACTTTTGATCAGTTGACTGAAAAATTCATATGTCAATCCAATGGACTTGTAGTGTTTTGAACCATGTCATTAGGTCAAAGTGATGCAATTGGACTCTTGAGATCATGCCTTAACCCAATTGATCATTTGCTAGGTCAAAAACCAGAAATTGCCCTTTCTTAGTCAAAACCCTAATTTTGACCATTTTGCCCTTTTGATGATTTGATCAAATTTCTTGAGGAATTAAGGTCCAAACTTGCTCAAATGATATATATGAGTTTAAAATGTTAGTTTGGATAAAAAATTATGAAGTTTAACTGTAAATTGGTCATAGTTGACTTTTTCCCCAATACAGCTGATTTTTAGGTCAACTGTTCAATTGACTGATCAAAAGTGTGATCTAAAGCTTGAAACTTGACATGAGTAATCTTGGGGATCCATAATGATACATGAAAGTCATATGGGGCATTGGAAGTTCAAAAATCCTTGTGAAATCTCAAACCCTAATTTTCAGTCATTAGTGCTTGAGGAGGTGCCTTGAGCTGATCAACCCAAATGTAGTCTTGATCCAAAGGAGATCTTGTGAGAAAATTCCTGATAAATAGGAGGAAAAATTTTGGGTACAACAACTGGCCTAGGAAAAAATAAGGGCATCCCAGCGAACCAAAAGGGTTCGGGCAAAAATTAGGGAAATATACAAAATATTATACACCCGATAAGTCGAAAACCTGAAAGGGCGGCTTGGGCAAAAAAGGGTATCCTGGTGGACTGAAAACCCGAAAGGACGGTCCAAGCAAAAATTAAGGATTAAAGCATGCGACTATCTCCCGTTGGATCACTTACAACCAGCTTTATTACCAAGGTCAAAAGTTCAAATAGTACATACCAGTTCAATCAACTTCTTCCGACAGCAAGGGATGAGATGTTCGAAGGCATAGGGACAATAGTGGAGTTGGAACCCAATGAGATCACTTCCACATAGCTATACATTTTATTTTCACTTTGTACTCTTTTCATTTCACGACAATTTCCTCTTACTAGGATTTATGTCTCTTTGTACAAAATCTCCTGTTTATAGGCAAATTATCAATACAAATACACCTTAAAGTTCAAACTTTTTGTTTTTCTATTTTGCTTGCAAAGACGTCCAATGACTAAATTGAATGAACATATGCATATGAACATGATTAAGTGTTAACAAATATATGCATAAGAACGGGAAATAAGCATTTACTCAGAACTCTAGGAGTTGGGATGACGTTCAAGCTGTCCATAAATCTCCACAGAGCCACTTCTATGAGATTATCTCCACAAAGTAATCTTCACAAATTCATCCCTAATAAGGATACATTCCCCACAATTTCCCCAACCTACGGAGTTCCAATCAGTATACTTCATGGAAATTCTCCTCCCCAGCTGAGCTTAGTCCTCCAAAACTGGAAAAAAAACATGTAGATTTCTTCTCTCTAGCAAAATTCAATTTCCCCAGGAGAGTTTGTCGTCAGGGTTTATTTCCCCAACAGGTAACACCCCATTTCTACCCAACGAATTATATAAAATCATAGTTTCAAAATTTTCAACAACATATGGAATGTTACACTTTCAACTTAAAACAACGACAATCAATCACCTGTAAATCGGATACATAACACAATATTTCGGGTGAAGCGATAACAACTTGTTGAGTCTTTAAAAATAAAATAACTTTTATTACTACGCAGCGGATTCACAAAATTCAACTGAAAACACCATAACATCTTGTCCAACTCAAAACAACTTTAAGACAACAAGTCTTTAATGAAAATAACTTAAAAATTCGGCAACATAATGAAAACCAACAAGAAAGAAAACATGCGTTCATCTCCCCGAGTGCTACGTGTCAGAGCGACAACAACGACTTTGACTAACGAAGGTAACAGCTATCCTTCTTGATTACTTGCACGTTACCAACAAAGGACAACATTCAAACAGAAGGGGTGAGATGTCGAACCATATAATTGAGTGTATGATAAACAATATATTAGAACGGATTATATAAAATCACCATTCACAACTTTCAACCAACATCAATCATCATAAGTCAATATTACAACAACTTAAATATGCAACACGGAATGCGACTCGTTATAATGCGCATGCATGTGGTACCATTGAAGCAGAACTCCCAACTTAAAAATCTGCCAATTAATAGAGGTGTCAACAAGGCATAAGCCTTCAACTTAATTTGCCGATGCAGACCAATTTACCGAGCATCAGCTCCAACTTGATATGCTATGTATGCGACATAGTATAAATGTCATAATAACAACAACAAAATCTCATAGCAACGCAATAACAAACCAACATTGGCCATAAACCTACAACTTAATATTTTTTCCATAAGCCTACTTACAATTATCTTGCCACTCACATATATCTGACATATAGAGCAATACTGAACGCAAAAAGCTCACCCACAATATTTGATACCGAAAATTATTGGACCAAATAATATCCAAATTTCCTGTGTAATGGTCTTGTTGTAATTGAAATAGAATGCATAGTTCCATTACACTAAATCATTATTTTAGAACATCCACTATTTTTCTACCTTCGTTTCTGATTTTGAATCTTTCTCTTCCGTTCTATTATTTGAAAAACTCTTTTTAGTGATGTATAACATTTTACCAATGCAAGAGGATTTCAGTTCTATAAAGGAGTTGTATCAAAGTTATTGAAAGTACCAAAGTTATCATAAATAGCAGCAAAAGGAAGACAATTACAATTTTTGCAGTAAGGAAACAAGCAAAACACCCAAATAAAGCATTTTGACTCGGTATACTAAAAGCAATGAAGTCATTATTGAATCATGATATAATGAAAACTGTGGAAGAACATGCCTAGATGTAGTCTAAATAATACTCTATTCTGTAAAGACGCAGAAAATCAAATATATATATATATATATATATATATATATATATATATATAACTCTGAGATAGGAAACAGTAGGCAGAATCAGAATTTTGCAACGCAACTAAGATTTTACAATCTTTATGAACAGTGAATATTTCATTCAATGACAAGACAATATTTAAAATACGGGAATAAAAGAAATTTACCTTACTACCAACTTTAAACACGTTGGAATTACATAAAAACAATTAAAAATAACTTTTAATAATATGAAACAACTCGATTGATAACTTTAACAACACTATTAATAACTCTAACAACCTTATTTACAACTCAATTGACACTCTATTAAAATAAAAATTAACCTAAATTAACTATTTATCCAAATAATTATTTCTAATATATAACTTTTAAAAAAATAATTTACTAATAATACTAACTTATTATTATATTATTAATTATTTATGCTAATGAAATTCATATATATAAAAAAAAAGCATTGAGAAAGTTACGCTACTATACCTACAATGAAAAAGCTACGCTACTTCCTCAATTTCTCACTTTGATTCATGGTTTCGCTACAGTATATTCAAAGTATATGGCCACTTGTTTTATTTCGCTACAGTATGCCTAACAATATACATTCATGTTTTACGCTACAGTACTGCAGTTTCTTATTCTCAATCCCTCGTAGTACCGTATACTTTGAACATAAACCTTGCTATTAATATCAATTTCATCAATATATCAATTTCAAACACAAACAAAAGCAATTCTATAATTCAATTTCACATACCATTAATCACATACCCTATTATAGAGTCAAAATCCTATTCTTACTTTTCTTTTTTTTTGCAAATTTCATGTATCTCTTCTCTAACCCTTATTCATTTTTTGTCAAAACCTATTCTTTCTCCTCTTACTGTTACTTCTACTCCTTATTTCTAAATAACTAATATAATAACACTATTATTCTTATTATGTCTTATTGGGCTTAAATTCCTACACCCCATTTCTACTACTTCTAACATTAAAATAAACTCATATCAAATAATAGTATTATTCTAATATTATTCTACAACTTAATCAAATAAATTAATTCAAATAAAAATGACACAACTTAAATCAACATTTCACAACTTCAAAAGTTTAATCGGAAAAATATTTGAAAATATTTAATTAAATAGTTAATTAAATATTGGGCGTTACAGTTTATTTCTCCAACATATTAGTCTCCCCAACTGGAGTCTATTCCTCATACTACTACAAATCACTGACAAAATTCCTCTTTCCAAGTGAAGTCACCACTATCCCCAGAAGGTTGTTGTAAAACCTAGAATCGAACCAGATATCCGTTAACTCTATCCTCTCCAGACGAGCCAAAGGTTTATCCATCTCTTATATCCTCAGTCATGGTATATAAGAATTAAATTCCTCAGTAGAGCAACGGACGACCAAGGTTCCTAAAACTCTACTCCCCAAGCAGGAAGTCAACATTCCCCAGCGGAGTTTCCTCAAACAAATAAGCAGGAATCCCCAGCGAAAGCATTCTAGACAAGATTGAAGATACACATACTCTTCATTTCCAACAACAGTTAGGGATTTATTTTCCCAGACAAAGATACTGTACGAGTTTACAAATATACTTCAACAACATTTCACATTCATACATCATAACATATGCATACGAAACGCATATAGCACAGTCTCATTTATTTTGAGAACATCATTATGCAATGCATTACATACATCATGGCATTGCATACATCTAACTATTTACCTTTTTAGGAAAGATCAATCAGTAGACGAATATCAACAACAATTCTCAAATAGGTCCAAGATTAATTCTCGAAACAAGACATGACAACTATCAACGAGACCAGGTTAGAGATTAATTCCCGAAATAAGACGGTGGGAGAACTAACTTGGTGTTTTGCGTTTTATCGCAAATGTTACGGATAGCAAGAGTCGCCACCGACTTTTCTTTTATCCAATAAAGGAAAGGGTGAAAAGAATAGGAAAGACCTTTTGAGAATTTTTCTTGAGTTTCGGGGGTAGGTTATGAAAAGGGAAGGTGTTAGCACCATTTTCATCCGTAGTTATCTATGTGCTCTTAATTGCTAGATCACTTTGAAGTGCTTTGTGTTTTGAGTAAGTTGGAAAATGTTTTGAAGATGGTAATTTTGTAATGATTCTCATATCGTTGAGAATATATACAAAATGTTTGTTTGGAAAATATTTTGAAAATGCCTTAGTGCGGAAATTTTTCTATGATTCTTGTATTGTTGAGAATGTATACAAAATGTTTGTTTTGAAAATATTTGTTGAAAATGAGTGTTTAGAAAGATGTTTTGAAAATGCCAATGTAAGGCAATTTTGTAATGAATCTCGTATCGTTGAGAACGTATACAAAACGTTTGTTTTGAAAAGTGTTTTGAAAATTGTTGTTTTGAAAGTGTAAGGTGTGAGGATTGTTTTAGTTTGTGAGCAAGCGATTACGAGTGAACTACCTAGTCAAAAAGTCTTTGTTCTTGTCCTCCTCCCTTAGATAGTGATATCCTATCATTAGTTGGTAGGAAACCATATCATGAAGTGTGAGGGACAGGCGTGGGTTATCATATAGTCATAGAAGACAATTGGGCCTGGCATTAGCAAAATGAAATTGGAGGGTGTGAAAAGGAATACTAGGCCCAAAATATGTTTTTTTTAATCAGAAAAATAAAATAAAAATGAAATGGGCCTGCAAGTTAGTAAAAGGGGGAGCATAAAAAGTAAAAACAAAAAAAGAAGGCCTAAGTCAAGGAGGCCTAGGCGCCTGATTGAGGTTATAGTGTGACTGGCCCTTTGAGATGCATCATGGGGTATGAGTGTCGAATGTTGGATCTTTATTACTTGCAGATCTAATGGTGTTAATGTGAGGCTCATGGTAGGCGCGTATAACTGCAAAGCATGGGATCTGAAAGAACAAAATAAGTGAAAAACAAAAGAGTATCATTGGGGCTCGAACTCATGTCCCTATAGTCACAAGCGTGCGCTTTAATCATTAGGGTGGTGATACATCCGGTAGTTAAAGCACAAACCAATAAATATATTACAAACTCATTCCTGAATGTAACTTCATCTCCTACCTCGCGCCAATAATAACAACAAGAATTTTGAAAATGCTAACTCCTTCATTTCTCAATCATTTCAAAAACTGTAAACACCAAACTTGTTCTAAATCTTAACACAAATTCAGCCATGTAAATAACTTAAGTTAACCCTCAAAGATGAACATGAATTTCTATTGATACCAAACCGAACCCTGATTTTTTTGAAACTTCAAATCCAAAATTCTTATCACTCAGGCAAGATAAATGAAATGTAAACACATGGTTAGCTTTAGGGAAATGATATATACATTTTTTATTCAGAAAGTAAACATTAATGATGCTTATACAGAAAGTTTAAAGTTTAGAAAACTTACCTCAAAAGTGAGAATCGTGTTTGAAGTTGGAGCACTCATGGAGATGTTGTGATGATCTGAATAGCTTCACTGAACTCCAAGAAAGCTATTGCAATACTTACTTTGGATTGAGAGTGCCTGGATTCTTATGGAGAAGTCAAGTTACAAAGTTGAGTTTTGAAAATGGTGAATGGTGATGGAGGGATTATAGAAGTGATTCAAGTGTTTGGATCACTTATATATGGTGTATAGATGATGTTTGAATGATTAAAATGGAAAATACACGAGTAGATTATGAGTTTGGTGTTCAAGGTCAGAAGTTGCCACAAAATGGAGTTTTGATGCAAATTCTGGTTTGGGGGAGTATGACGGTATTTTGAGGGCTATGAATTTGTGTCTTAGCTTGAAAATAACCTCTCTATTTATAGGGAGGGCTAAAGGGAAGGAGAACATCAGGTTTTCAAGTTGTAGGGTTATGGTTTGATTGGATTGTAATTGAAGCAAACCAGAAGATCATGGTTCCAATGTTAAGTACAAAGCAATTTAGAGTGGTTAGAGGCTTTAAACATGTTGCTTCTGACTTTTTGATGGAGTGTATGCAGAGGGAACATGTTAGAGGATCAAGGAGAGTGGACTTTCTGATAAATCATGCTTTACAAGAATGAAACTGGTAACTTTGTGCCAAAAATGGAAAATTGTCTTGGACAATGGCTCAAACACTTGGATAATGGCTCAATCAATTGTGTAAACATTAAATTATGGAGTGATTTGCAAGTTAGAAGGTCTGTAAAGAAAGATTATGCAGCATGCTTGAAGATTGGATCATAAGTGTTGTACCCCAAAATTTGCCCTCTCATTTCTCAAGGCATTTCTCACAAGGATTCTCAAAAATTCAAGCTTAAACAAGTACAATTGGATTTTTCAACATTAAGTTAAAGAGGAAATTGTTAAAAAGGGTAAAGCAGATGAAAATGTTCTTTTTGACAAAATTGAAGAAAAAACAAGTTTTCTTCAATTTTCCATCTTTCAATTAGGCACTTTGGCCCCTTCAATGCAAGTTTTGGTTACACCTTTCATTTGAGAAAAGGCTCCTTGCATGTTTTCTTGGAGTCATAAAGCAATAGCCTCCTAAAGCTCTTTTTTGATTCAGAGGCCATTTTCCCTTTGCATGATCCCTTCGACTCACAAAAACCAAGACTCCCTTTAGGCCAGAAATCACAAGGCAAAAATTTCCCCATGGCTAGCATTCACAAGGAAATGGTGCCCACAAAGCATGGGCTACTTTCATGCTAGTTTCGACTGGGCAGTTTCTCCCTTGGAAATAGTTTGCTTTAACACACAATTTCTACACTATGACACATAGCTATTGTCTCGTTCGAAAGAAGTACCATGGTGGCACATTCGAAGGACTTTTCAGACATACCTGGATGTCTCAATCGAATGACATATTTTGGTGATCCATTCCAGGGGCATGCATTTGGTCAATTCAAAGGAACATACAAAAGGCCTATTCAAAAGACACCTATTTGGGCCCCTTCAAAGGATACACATATGATCCATTCGAAGAGCACTTTAACTTGAAAAGAAATGTTGTTGTCTCAGAGTCTGGTGGAAGGATAGGGCTGGGGGGTCAAAACAAAAGGTTGAGACATCCAAAGATACTTGCTGGCTATAGTCCCATGTGCTGCCAAGTTCAGGCCTGATACACTAGCCATAACACTCCAAAATTGCTGCACAGCAGTCCTGCAACAATGCCCTCGTTCTTGCACCAATTTGGCATACGAATACTTCCCCTTGAAAGCTACAAGAATAACATGCCTTTTTTGTTCAAATTTCCTTTGTTTTCCCTCCTAAAACATCATCCAAAATCACCTATAAATATGAGTCTCCACCACACATCTTAGGGGCCCCTGGATAGTTGCAAGAAAACTCGTGTTGTGAAAAAAGTGATAAATCTCTCAAAAAAATTCTCAAAAACTACCCAACGTTTTTTTAATATTCCAAACACTTCTAAAAAACTCAGATCCCTTCACAAACTAAGTGAACCCTTAGATTCACTCCTCAAGTTGCCAGATAACCAACCTTCGACCCATTCCCCCTAGCTGCAATATAATAATCTTTTGATTCACTACCTTACTTGTTATAGAGTAACCTTCGATTCACTCACATAATCTCCTTCAATTCAGTAACTACTCAAACAAGGTAGCAACTGAACTAGCCTCAGGAAGACTCCAACGAACTTCCATTCACCACCAAGAAAGTCACTTGCAGTTTTCTTTGATTTAAGCGCTTCAAGAGGTAAGTTCTCTCTAAACTTGAAACTATTTCATTTAAATATCATGTGTACATACCAATAAGATAAAATGCAGATATTTTATCTAGGGAGTTTGACCATGCTTTAACCTTCGATCCTAACTGCTTATATGTTGAAAATCTCAACCCTGACTAGTTAGACTTTGGTTTTTGAGACCCAATAACCTTGTGCTAACCCCTGGCTTGTAGCTTTCGAAAGTTACACTTGAATGTTGCATGTTTAAAAGTTTAAAAAAGGTTCCCTGTATCCTTCAATTGGCTAAATACTCAAGCCTTTCGAATCTCAACCTGAGGGCCTAGTATTCCTGTAGTCGAAGAAGGCAAAAATGAGCCTGAGGCAAAGAGTGCACCTCATGTTGACTTCAGGCCTCAAACGAAAGAAGCAGCCAAAAGTATGGCCATACTGATTACAGGTCCCATTCGAAAGAAACACTCAAGGGGTGAAATCTAAAGACATGACCTTACTGACTCCAGACCCAAATCGAAGGAAGCCAAGAAGTGCAGATTCAAAGAGTGTTGCTGCCTAAATCGAAAAAGCCCATTTTCCTTTCTTTATTTTATTTTGTCTTTAGATTTTCTTGCTATTCAATATGGTTGTAATAGTGTAGGATTTATTTTCTGCATTTTTATTGCTTTTGTACAAATGATAGTAATTAGGATGTATGGAAAGATAAAATCAATAAGTAGACCACCCTAATCAAAGATTAAATGCATGCAAACCAAACACATTATTCACACACATGTACCCCCTAGGGTAATCTCACTTATTGCCTCGAAAAAATAGTCATGTCCCTCGAATATGGGCGTTTTAGCAAAGACCCTCGATAAAAGATCATAGTCCCTCGATGACCCTCAATGTTGCCTCTGGTAAACGATCTAGTCCCTAAACGAAAATTGCTAAAACGTCCCATAGGTTGCCTTCTATGACTATACAAATGTCCCACGCCCGTCCATTCACATCCAATGGTGGGGCTTCTTACCAAATTAATGGTAGGATAGAAACATATAAAGGAGGAGGAAAAGAACATGGACCTTTTGAGTAGGTAGGATACTCCTAGTTGCTCGCTTACTCATAACAAAAACACTTTATACACCAACGCTTTCATTTGAAATATTTTCAAAAGACAAAGCTTTTTGTACGCGTTCTTATAGAAACGAGAACCATTACAAAGACACTTTTCAAAATACTTTCAAAACCCACACCACAAGCACATTTTCAAACAAAAGCAAGTGATCTAGCAAGAAACTAAGAGCCTGTAGATAACTATGGATGAAGAGGGTGCTAACACCTTCCCTTTTCATAACCTACCTCCCGAACTCAAGAAAATATCTCGAAAGGTCTTTCCTATTCTTTTCAACCTTTCCTTTTGGATAAAAGAAAAGTTAGTGGCGACTTTTGCTATCCGCAACAATTGCGATCAAACGCAAAACACCCAAGTCAGTTCTCCCACCGTATTACAAAACTGACAACTCTGCTGGGGAATTACTTAAAAGTTGGGTTACCTTAGGGCTAGATCACCTTTACTTACTTTTCATTGTTTGACTTGCTTGCTTTACATTATGGTTCTTTGTTTGGGCTTGTTTTGATCCTCTACCCGGATCTGGGGCACCTTTTTAGGTAAGTAGCAATAAGTTGTTGAAATTGTGTGGGGTATACCGACATGGTCAAAGCAATTATGTTAGTGTGACACATTTGTTGGTACCGCTAGCCCTCGAGTAGTCAAGGAGAATACGGGGCCTCTGTATGGTGTCATGAAGCACTAACTGACTTTAGAACCTTACTTGAACAACTTGGCCATTAGGAAGTAGTGAGGTAGCCGACTTTGGTGCAGTCCGAAGTTGGTTGATACTCGATACTACGCTCATTGAGATTGGACTTTCGGGATATTTTGGTCGCCAATAAAGAGGCTTGCGCTGAAACAATGCCCGATGAAGAAAGATCAGTGATATTAAGATTCCCTAGAACCCATTTACTTTCTAGGACAGGTTAAACCAACTAAACTCCAAGAGGGTACTTACCTATGAACCTCATGCAAGCCCAAACCTAAGGACTTGTTTGATTTTCTTGTGCATATGCTTGTACATAACATCATGGCATCATACCATAGCATTTTAGACTAACCATTTCATGGATCTTGAGATTCATCTTTATTCTGTTTTGTAGGACATGACTCCCACTCATAGGAATACAATCCAAGTCAATCTCGTACGAGTACCCTTCCAGCTTAAAGAATTAGAATCAAGGGTCCCTGAGAATTCTCCGTTCACCAAAAGACATGGAGGACTTCTCAACTTGGTTACCTCAAACTTTGATGAAGACATGATGAAAGTGTTTTTCCAGTTCTTCGACCCTTTGCACCATTGCTTTACCTTCCCCGATTACCAACTGGTGCCTACTATGGAAGAATTCTCTCAAATCTTGGGAATTCCTATCCTCAATAAATTACCTTTAAACGGTATTGAAAGAGACTCGAGCCCTGAAGAGATTGCTCGAGCCTTACACTTGCAACAATCCGACATCATGGTTAACTAGGAAACAAGAAGTGGTGTCAAAGGGTTCCTAGCTAAGTTCATGTTAGAAAAATCTCAAGACTGTTGGAACACTCTGGATTTACAAGCCTTTGAAGAAATCTTGGCTCTTCTCATCTATGGGATGGTACTATTTCCTAATCCTGACCAACTTATAAATGTGAATGCAGTCCAAAATTTTATATCTCGCAATCCAGTGCCTACTTTGTTGGGAGATATCCTGCATTCTCTCCACTCTCGCACCATGAAGAGAAGAGGAGCCCTCATGTGTTGCACTCCTATGTTGGCTAGATGGTTTGTTTCGCACCTACCCCGATATGTTGTAAAGAACGAGCAAGGTTTGAGATGGTCCAATAGGTTGATGTCACTCAGACATTCGGATATCCATTGGTGTTCTCGATCCTTGGAGGATATTACTATCACCCACCGTTGTGGGGAATTCCCTAATGTCCCTTTGCTTGGCATTAGGGGAGGTATCACTTACAACCCTTGCTTAGCTTTGCGACAGTTTGGGTATGCATGAAGAGATGGTCCTCATGATGCGCTCATCCAAGATATGGTGTTCGACTACGAGAGCGACGACCAAGGCTACCGTCAAAGGTTTATATGAGCTTGGAGGATGGTAAAAATAGTGGATAGTAAGACATTGGGACACAAAAATTCTATTCCCCTTGAGCCTTACCTTAGGTGGGTACAAACTCGTGCTCAGAGTCTCATAATGCCTTACCCCTCCATCCTATCTTCCATCATGGACCCCGTTGCTGAAGGGGATGTTCCGTATACCATCCTTTATCCCAACATGCCTACCTCTCTTGAAGACTTGCAAAAGGATTGGATTCAGCTAAAGGAAGAGCAAGACACCTTCGAAGCCCAGTTCCACGCATGTGAAAAGAAAGTTCTGGAACTCACAAAGCAGCTTCATGAAGAGTGAAGTTTGAACGCCTATATTGCGTCGAAGAGGATGCGTTCGACCTTTTTGTCTTAGGAGTTTTATTTTTGTATTTCATTTCTTCCATTGTAAGCCCCAAGAGGCATGATGTAATCAAACTTGGATTTATTGATACAATGTGTGTTTCCTGTTGTCTAAACAAATTTAAATCTCTTAGTTTCCTTGAAATCATTTGAATATGCATTTTCATTCATCATAACACAAACAGGTTTTTAACAACAGGTCTCCTTATCTTTCTACTATTTATTTCAGTGAGATGGATATTGAACAGACAATAAAAGATCTTCAAGCACAAAATACTCAATTCCAACAGATGTTCTTGGCTCTGGTTAAAGGACAAGAGGACTTAAAGGCTCTTATGATAAAAGATAAGAAGAAGAAGGCGAAGAAACCAGTCGGCATTTTAAATTTGGGAAGAAGGTTCAGAGGACCAGCCAAGCGAACTCTAGATTTTGCAACCTATTCGGGTGAAGGAGATAATCAAGAAGGAAAGAACAAGGAAGGAAATGACAATCCAGAGTTTGAGGAAGATGAAGATGACTACTCTGAAGAACAGTATCCTCCCGCTGGTGATAAATACAAACAATTGGAGGATCGCCTCAATGCTATGGAGATCCAGAGGGTACCCGGGCTAGATTTTGAAGAGCTAGAATTGGTCTCAGGGGTGGTCATCCCGCAGAAATTCAAGGTCCCCACATTTGCTAAATATGACGGTGTCTCTTTCCCTAAGCCGCATTTAAGGTCATACGTCAGGAAGATTCAATCCCATACTGCTGATAGGAACCTATGGGTACATTTCTTCCAAGAAAGTTTGTCAGGGACGCGGTTGGATTAGTAAGGAACCAATATTCACAATTGGGAAGATCTGGTTGCTGCTTTTTACAAGCAATACCAGCATAATGTTGATCTAGCTCCAACTCGAACATAACTGTAAGGTATGTCTATGGGTTCTGGTGAAGGTTTCAAAAATTATGCCCAAAAATGGAGGGATCTCGCAGGAAGAGTCCAGCCCCCTTTATCTGATAGAGAGTTGGTGGATATATTCTTGGGCACGTTGTCTGGTCCATTCTTCAACCAACTGATCAGAAGCTCTTCAACTGGATTTACTGAGCTAATCATGACTAGTGAGCGGGTAGAAGTAGGTATTAAGAGTGACAAGATTCAAAGGGATGCATCCTCAAGCACGATGAAGAAACCCTTCACTAGAAAAAAGGAGGTCAGTGTTGCTTATGGCCACAGGAATCAAAACAAAACTGAACATCGTCCGACGGTATGGGCTGTTATGATCTCCAATCATGTATCAAATCAACAGTGAAACCATCAACGCAAGTCGGAGGTGCCCATAAGATGATTCACCCGGATCAACATGACGTTGTCCCAGGTTTTTCCACGTATGTTGAAGTCCAATCTGGTGACTCTAAAGGAAGCTTCCAAGAACTCCAATACTGCTTCTCCCTGCTACAACCCGAATGCTCGATGTGCCTATCATTCTGAAAGTCTGGGGCATGATACAAATGATTGTTAGGCCTTTAAAAATAAGGTACAAGACCTTACCGAGGCGAAAGAGATTGAGTTTGACCCTCGAGAAACACCTAACGTAATAACGGCGCCCATGCCCAAACATGGCCAAGGTGTCAATATTGTTGATGATGACCGATTTGTTTCCTCTGTGGATGAATTAACTACTCCCCTTTTGACTGTTAAACATAATCTATTGCAGGCCGGTTTATTTTCGGGCTGTGATGAAAGTTGTCACTTATATATATCTCTATCAGATGGTTGTTTGTTACTGAAGATGGGCGTCCAGCGCCTGATGGTTAACAAAGAAATCCTGTTCGAGAAAGTTCCTCTTGCTAGAAATTCATGTGAACATGTTTCAATAATCACCATTTCTGACAATCCTCCCAGGGTCTCCACCAAAAGACCTGTCAGGATTACATATTTTCCAAAGTTTTCTCCCATAATCATCACCTTGTCGGGGCCAATACCATATTCCTCGGATAAAGTTGTTCCCTGGAATTATGGGGCTGACGTCTATTACCATGGCGTCAAGCAAGACCTATTGGTTATCAAAGACAAAGTTGTTGAAGGTACTGATCATGACGTCGACAATATTGTTGGGACCAGTAAGATAACGAGAAGCAGAAGAGTTTTCTCCCCCGAGATCTCTCCAAAGACCATTGTTACTCCTGTGATCATCATGTTGCTGCTCCTGTCAATATTCCCACGGTTATTCCCGCTGCTAGCCCTGTTGTTATCCCTGCTACCGAATCGGACGGGACACAGGGCAAAGAGGTATTGGTTGAGCCTGTCCATACGAAGGCACATCCAGAAGTCACCCTTGAGGCTTCTAAAAGAGAAATAGAAGAAATATTAAAAACAATCAAGAAAAGTGATTATAACGTCATGGAGCAGTTGGGGTAGACCCCCTCAAAAATATCAATGATGGCCTTACTTTTGTGCTATGAGTCCCACGCTAAGGCTTTAGTAAAAATTTTGAAGACCGCCCACGTGCCCCAAGAGACCTTCATTGATCAATTCGAGAATTGTGTGGCCAATCTAACTGCTGATAATGGACTGGGTTTTTCTGACGCTGATTTAACTCCCAAGGGAAGGAAACACAATGGTGCCCTGCATGTCTCTATTGAGTGTAGGGGCACTACATTAGCCCATGTTCTGGTGGATACAGGTTCGTCGCTGAATGTCTTACCCAAGAATGCTCTTTACTGGTTAAATTGCGAAGGACTCACATTAAAGCCCAACAACATTGTGGTAAGAGCCTTCGATGGTTCTAAAAGAATGGTGCACGGGGAGGTGGACATCCCTATCAAAGTTGGAACACAAACATTTGATTCAACCTTCTATGTGATGGATATCCGCCCATCTTATTCCCATTTATTGGGTCGACCCTGGATCCATGGGGTTGGTGTTCTCACTTCTACCCTACATCAGATGTTGAAGTACCCAGTCAAGGGAAAGATTATCACGGTTCATGGGGAGGAGGAATACATGGTTAGCCACATGAACTCTTTCAGGTATGTTGAAATGGACGGCGAGTTCATTGAGACCCCCTGTAAAAATTTTGAGGAGGTTCCACGGACGGTTGTTGTGACCAAGACTGCTACCAAGGCTCCGAAGATTACCAGACCTCCATTGAAAATGGCTTCTCTGAAGGATGCTAGAGTAGTAGTTAAGGAAGGTGGATGTACCATTTGGGGTCAACTTCCGGATATTCCTTACAAATCTAAAAAATTTGGTTTGGGTTTCACCTCGGAGGCCCAAAGAGCTGTTTGACGTACTCGCGCTGGAGCACCACCATTATGCATCAGCAATCATGGAGTCAATGCGTTGGAAGACAGTGATAGCAGATGTGACATAGACGAGTGGATTTTTCCAACCATCGGAGGTGGACTCAACAATTGGGAGGCCAAAGATTTTGTTCCTATTAATTTTATTCAAGAGTGATTCTCTTTAAATTTTCGGACTTGTAATATTTAAATAATTTAAACTTTAAAACCTTGTGCCTTACCCGAGGCACAATGGTCCATTTGTGAGGGTTGTTACTTCATCTTCATATGTCATTAATAAATCATGGGACATTTTTGCATGTAAATTTTACGCTCTTTATTTTCTTTTTCTACCTTTTATTTTATCAAAGATAGCTATGCTCTTACACACACTCATATATCAAAATGCAAATCCACATCCACTCGGGATCCCATGGTAACGGTTCTGCTATTGCCTATCATGACTTTGAAAATCCGATCTACCAAGCCAAGGACGAAGGTGAGGAAGATTGTCAGGTACCAGGGGAACTTGCCAGATTATTACAACAGAAAGAAAGGACCATACCGCCCCACGAAGAGCTGGTTGAAACAACTAACTTAGGTACTGAAGAGGAAAAGAAAGAAATCAAGATAGGTGCCAATCTGGAGAATAGTGTCAAGAAGCGTTTAACTCAGATACTGCATGACTATGTTGAGTTCTTTTCCTGGTCATACGAAGATATGCCAGGACTCGACACTGATATCGTGGTACATCGTCTGCCGATAAAAGAAGACTGCCCTCTAGTGAAACAGAAGGTTCGTCGTATGCGGCCAGAAATGTCAGAAAAAATCAAGACTGAAGTCATGAAGCAGTTCAACACAGGATTCTTAGCTATCACCTCCTATCCACAATGGGTCGCCAATGTTGTTCCGGTGCCTAAGAAGGACAATAAGGTACGTATGTGTGTGGATTACAGAGACCTGAATAGGGCAAGCCCCAAAGATGACTTCCCGCTTTCCCACATCGATATTATGGTTGACAACACCGCACAGCATTGAGTATTCTCCTTCATGGATGGTTTCTCTAGATACAATCAGATCAAAATGGAACCTGAGGACATGGAGAAAACGACCTTCATCACATAATGGGGCACTTTCTGTTACAAAGTCATGCCATTTGGGATGAAGAACGTCGGGGCAACCTATCAGCGTGCCATGGTAGCTTTGTTTCATGATATGATCCATCACGAGATAGAGGTCTACGTGGATGATATGATATCTAGATATCAAACTGAAGAGGAACACCTTGACCACCTGCAGAAGCTACTTGAGAGACTGAAGAAATACAAACTAAGGTTGAACCCAAATATATGCATTTTTGGAGTAAGATCCAATAAGCTTTTAGGCTTTGTTGTCAGCGGCAAAGGTATTGAAATGGACCCTGCAAAGGTAAAAGCAATACAAGAAATGCCTTCTCCTCTCACTGAGAAGGAAGTTAGGGGATTCTTAGGACGGCTAAACTACATCGCCAGATTCATTTCCCATCTAACCGCTACTTGTGAACCAATCTTCAAATTAGTGAATAAAGATCAAGTGGTGGAATGGAATGACGACTACCAGACTTCCTTTGACAGGATCAAGGAATACCTTCAAGAGCCTCCCATTTTGATGCCTCTAGTTGAAGGAAGACCTCTGATCATGTACCTAACAGTTTTAGAAAATTCAATGGGGTGTGTGTTGGGGCAGCATGACGAGCCTGGCCGAAAAGAGCATGCAATATACTACATGAGCAAAAAGTTTACTGACTGTGAAACCAGATATTCACTACTCGAGAAAACTTGAAGTGCTCTGGCATGGACTGCTCACTAGCTAAGACAGTATATTCTGACTCACACTACCTTATTGATATCCAAGATGGATCCTATTAAATACATATTCGAGAAGCCCGCCCTCTCTGGAAGAATAGCAAGATGGAAGATGGTCCTGACCGAATACGACATTCAGTACACTACCCAAAAAGAAATAAAGGGAAGTGTACTAGCTGATCATTTGGCTCATCGGGCTGTGGATGACTATCAATCCATGAATTTCGAATTCTCAGATGAAGACATCTTGTTGGTGAATCATTGTGAAGAACCCGAACTATATGACGGACCTGAACAAGGATCCCGATGGACCATGGTTTTTGACGGAGCTTCCAACGCACTAGGCAATGGCATTGGCGCTGTGATCATATCTCCTGAAGGCTGTCATACTCCATTCACTGCTAGGATGTGTTTCAACTGTACCAATAATATGACTGAATATGAAGTATGCATTATGGGTCTCAAAGTTGCCATAGATTTGGGGATTAAATCCTTAAGTGTATTTGGAGACTCAGCCTTAGTAATCAGTCAGATCAAAAGAGAATGGGACACAAAGCATCCTAATCTCATCCCTTACAAAGAACATGTGATGACAATGATCCCACATTTTGAGGAAATTACCTTTGAGCATTTTCCATGAGAGGAAAATCAACTAGCATACGCACTAGTTACCATGTCATCCATGTTCAAAATCAGTTGGGATAATGAGGCTCCTCAGATCATTATTGAGAGGATGGACGAACCAACATACTGTCACGAGATTGACACTAAAGAAGTAGTGGACAAACCTTGGTTCCATGAAATTAAGAGATATCTCGAGGCCCAAGAATATCCGGAGGGAGCTTCAGTCAATGATAAAAAGTTCCTAAGAAGGTTATCTGCTAAATTCTTCCTCAGTAATAGAATCCTCTATAAGCGCAACCATAACTCTACTTTGCTTCGGTACATAGACAAGAGTGAGGGAGAAAAGATCATGGCTGATTTACATGAAGGTACATTTGACACCCATTCTATTGGGCACAGGATGGCTAAAAAGATCCTACGGGCAGGATACTATTGGTCCACTATAGAAGCATATTGTTATCAGCATTCACGAACTTGTCACAAGTGCCAGATCTATGTTGACAAAATACATATGCCTTTGGTTCTTCTAAATGTCCTGACTGCTCCTTGGCCATTTGCAATGTGGGGCATTGACATGATTGGAGAGATCATACCTACAGCTTCTAATGGATGCCGCTTCATCTTGTTTGCGATTGATTACTTCACGAAGTGGGTCGAGGCAGCTTCATTTGCTTATGTTACCAAGAACGTTGTGGCCCGATTCATCAGACATAATCTTATTTGTCGGTATGTATTCCGGAGAGAATCATTACAGATAATGGTACCAATCTCAACAATACTATGACCACCAGACTATGCGCGCAATTCAAAATCCAACATCATAACTCTTCTCCTTACCAGCCGAAGATGAATGTCGTTGTAGAAGCCGCTAATAAAAACATCAAAAAAATCATACAGAAGATGACAGTGACCTATAAACACTGGCATGAGATGTTACCATTTGCTCTCCACGGTTACCATACCACGGCGCTCACATCAACAAGGACAACTCCTTTCTCTTTGGTATATGGTATGGAAGTTGTCCTACCAATTGAAGTCCATATACCTTCTTTGAGGATCATGAAGGATGTAAGGTTGAATGAAGATGAATGGATTCAAACTCGACTTGACCAATTGAACCTGATTGATGAGAAGAGGCTTACGGTTGTCTATCATGGTCAGATGTACCAAAACGTATGATTAAAGCTTTTAACAAGAAAGTCAGACATCAGGTATATCAGGTTAGTGACCTGGTAATCAAATGTATCATACTGCCACAAGGTGATCCCAGGGAAAAATGGACTCCTACATACGAAGGACCATTTATGATCAAAAACATATTTTCTGGTGGGGCCATGATCTTAACCACTATGGACGGCGACGACCTTCTGCACCCTATAAACACGGACATAGTTAAAAGATACTACGCATGAAAAAGACCCGCTAGATTGACTGGCCTAGGCAAAAATTAGGGATATACACACACAAAAATCTGTACACCCGGCAAGCTGAAAACCTGAAAAGGCGGTTTGGGAAAAAAGGGTACCTCCAGTATGCAGCCTAATGGTATTAGGTACTCTCATATCCCCGACTGAGAAAAATTTCCAATTACCGCTCCAAGGATTCCCCAATGAAAGTCGCCCGACTTCTCAGGATTCCCCAGCAGGATTTCACAAAGTCCACAAGCAATGCACGACATTTCCCTTCCCCAACAGAGTTTATTTCTCTAATAATGGAAACCCATCTATCAACACTTCAACTTCAACAAAATATGAAGACTTACACTCCTCATTCTCAGCAGCAGTCAGTGATTTATTTTCCCCAGTCCAGCAACACTGCAGCAGAACAACTAATATGTTCATACATCATAGCATCGACAACACAAATGCATATATCGTAATCTCATTTATTTTGAGAAACATAATTACGTCATGCATTTCATACATCATGACATTGCATACAACTAACTCTTTACCTTTTCAGGAAAGATCAATCAACAGAAAATTATCATCAATAAATTTTCGACAAGACAGGACAACTATCTGTGAACAAATCGATTGTAGATCAATTCCCGAAGTAGGACGGGGTGACTATCTACATGACGAATACTTCCTTCAGACCTCTGCTGGTTCAGTTTAAATCGATTAATGATTTATCCTGATTCCTTTTCGGTAGATGCTTTCTCTGGTTCAGATAAATCACTCCAAAGATTTATCTTGATTCTTTCCAGTTAAAAATTATTCAAGACCTCTGTTGGTTCAGTTTAAATCAATCAATGGTTTATTCTGATTCCTTTCTGGTAGACACTTTCTCTGGTTCAGATAAACCGCTCCAAAGATTTATCCTATTTCTTTCTAGTTAAAAATTATTCAAGACCTCTGCTGGTTCAGTTTAAATCGATCAATGGTTTATTCTGATTCCTTTCCGGTAGACACTTTCTCTGGTTCAGATAAATCTCTCCCAAGATTTATCTTGATTCTTTCCAGTTAAAAATTATTCAAGACCTCTGCTGGTTCAGTTTAAATCGATCAATGGTTTATTTTGATTCCTTTCCGGTAGACACTTTCTCTGGTTCAGATAAATCGCCCCAAAGATTTATCTTGATTCTTTCCAGTTAAAAATTATTTAAGACCTCAGCTGGTTCAGTTTAAATCGATCAATGGTTTTTCTTATTCCTTTCCGATAGACATTTTCTATGGTTCAGATAAATCGCTCCAAAGATTTATCCTGATTCTTTAAAGTTAAAAATTATTCAAGACCTCTGCTGGTTCAGTTTAAATCGATCAATGGTTTATCATGATTCTTTTCTGGTAGACACTTTCTCTGGTTCAGATAAATTGCTCCAAAGATTTATCCTGATTCTTTCCAGTTAAAGAATATTCAAGATCTCTATTGGTTCAGTTTAAATCGATCAATGGTTTATTCTGATTCCTTTCTGGTAGACACTTTCTCTGGTTCAGATAAATCGCTCAAAAGATTTATCCTGATTTTTTCCAGTTAAAGAATATTCAAAATCTCTGCTGGTTTAGTTTATATCGATAAATGGTTTATCCTGATTTCTTTCTTGTAAACACTTTCTCTAGTTCAGACAAATCACTCCAAAGATTTGTTCTGATTCTTTTCCAGTTGAAGTCAAGCTTAGACTTAGTCTAATTTGTGTCAACAATCACCTTCAGATGGCATCTATAATCCCATCTCTGACGACTCTCCATCATCTCTCCAAATGGCATCTTTAAGCCCATTCCCTATACAATCAACCACTACATCATCGAGTGCAAATTTCTGGGTACTCTAGTATTCAATCATCTTCCACCTTCAAGTCACGAATGGCAGACTCTCCAATCTAACTCTTCAGGTTTAAGAAAATTGAACAGGGGCAGCTGTTGTACCCCAAAATTTGCCCTCTCATTTCTCAAGGCATTTCTCACAAGGATTATAAAAAATTCAAGCTTACATAAGTACAATTGGATTTTTCAGCATCAAGTTAAAGAGGAAACTGTTAAAAAGGGAAAAACAGATGAAAATATTCTTTTTAACAAAATTGAAGAAAAAAACAAGTTTTCTTCGATTTTACATCTTTCGATTGGGAACTTTGGCCCCTTCAATGAAAGTTTTGGTTACACCCTTCATTTTAGAAAAGGCTCCTTGCAAGTTTGCTTAGAGTCATAAATCAATAGCCTCCTAAATCTCTTCTTCGATTCAGAGGCCATTTTCCCTTTGCATGATCTCTTCGACTCACAAGAACCAAGACTCCCTTTAGGCTAGAATGCACAAGGCAAAAATTTCCCCATGGCTAGCATTCACAAGGCAATGGCGCCCACAAAGCATGGGCTACTTTCATGCTAGTTTCGACTGGGAAGTATCTCCCTTGGAAATAGTTTGCTTCAACATACAATTTATACACTATGACACATAGCTATTGTCTCGTTCGAAAGAAGTACCATGGTGGCACATTCGAAGGACTTGCTAGA